ACAACAAATATTGGACAAACACATGGGGTAGAGAAGTCACCAGTGAAAAATATATATTCAGAGAAAGTGAATTTTAAACATGGTAAAAATAAAATAAACTGTGGTTTAGAATCTAATTTTTTATTTATTGTGAGTTTTATACCTGGCTACTAAGAAGAAAGGGGGGAAAATGGATTAACAGATCAGAGCTAGTAAATATGTTATAATACAAATTTTGCAAATAAAGGATATCTTTCATAACATTTTAAAATTATGTGAAGAGGAGGAACAAAGGTAGAAACAATGTATTGATCAAAAAATAGAAACAGAATGTTTTAAACTAAACAAATGTAATTGAAAATAAAAATAAAAAAGTATGTTTGCAGGATCCATGGCCCTGCGGTAATGTGAAGAATATACAGAGTCTTAACATGCAAATACAGAGCTGTTCAAAGGGCAGGACATATTACCGGTCCTTAGAGGTGGCTTGACTTAATGCATAACAGAAAAACAGAATGATTGAGGAACTGTCCAAGGTCAAAGGAGTACAGAATAACGGTAGACAAGCCAAGGTCATGATTGGAAAGATGAAAAAGCAAAATTTAATAACTGGATAAACAACAAAGAACTTTCAAAATGCACTCTGAGAATACTGGAGACCATGACACGGCACAGGCTTCCTGGTGGATTTTATAGTCCTAGTATATGTTGCAATCAGAACGAGACCAGAACAAATTTTAGAAAGGCTACGCCAGAATGGCAGCATTCCTTCATTATATTGGCTATATAAGACCTGCGGGTATAGTGTTGCACCCCATTCCTGACACTGAACAACACAGAGCATCATTATAGCAAGGCTGAACTGGTTGAGAACAATTCTTCATGTATGTTTGATGCCAGAATGGTTTTCTGCATCACTTTTGTGATCTTGAAAAGAGCGTCCTGCATGAAAATGATGCCAGAATTTCACACAGTGTTGCATTGAGTAGAGAAACAATGTAGGCTAGCAGTGGATGCTAGTTGCATTGACATACTCTCAGCACTGTGCTTTCCTCAGGGTATTTCAACACAGTCAAAGATAGTCTGTTAACCGTTAAGCTAGGCAATTAATTGAGAGAGCAAAACAACATACTCTCCATGTTGTAATGTTTTATATGTGGGATAAAACAAATACATTTTTGGAAAATTTAACACAGTATTTACAGATACCTGTGTAAAAGTAGGCCATGTGCCTTTTCTATTGTTTTGATCCCGTACCTAATTAAAACGTTCTTCCCAGAGTGCCTTGTTGTGCCTTTCTTCTGTGCAGCACTATTGCCACTGCTGATGTGTTTCTATACTGCTATGCTACCAACTAATAAAACAAATTAACATACACATTGTTTTATATATTTTTATTTATAATTCCTTATTTCAACATTTTTGCAGGTTTACAGCAAAAGAAAAAGGATTAGAAAAAATAAACAAAATGACAAAAGCATAGGTCAAAAGACATGAGCATCTGCATCACATAAAGAGTAGCCAGTAGCATACAAATTGACAGGAGTTCAGGATGAGCAGATTAAAGTAAAAAAAAATGTGGTATTTAAAGTGGTCAGCTATTTGGTTTTGTGATAATTAAGTTACGATTCCCATGGCAAAGGGAATATGATGATAGGGTAGGCATACGGCATCAGTGATGTTCAGCGTGGAGTTGCGCCAACTGAGGATACCTATAACGTTAAGTGAAACTTTTAAGCATAACTAAAACAAAAATTACTAAGGCACCCCTGTATCAAAACCTGATCATCAAAAGTACCATTTTAAAAATGCAAAGGAACCTAAGAACAGAGCCCTTAGGGCTCATACAATGGTTTGGTTGCAAGTGAAATGGAAGGGAAGTGGAGAGGTTTAAAAGTTGCTGACAGAGGAGGTTATAGTTCAGCTAGGGAGTGAGGAGTAATTCATTCAGAAGGGATCTCAGATTTATTGGAAGAGTTTGGGGGTGTCGTGTAGGGAAGCAATGAAAGAATCCATTCCTATAGAATCTTAAACTAGAGAGATTACATTGTTTTATTAATCAAAAAATACTTATTTTTTAATTATTATGTTCAAGTAACAGATACACCTAATATGTATAGTGTAGTGTTAAGTAGGAATGTCTTTGTTGTTTCTTTCAAGACATTATTTGCAGCTATATTAGTCCTCTCTTCTCGACTTGTAGTTCTGTGGAGACAGAGAGGTACACACAATAGTGCAGATGGCTATAGACAGGTGTGGCTAGGTGATAGATGAAAACACTCACAAACGTAGAGCCAATTGGACCTGGCTCTGGTATCAAGGCCTCAGGATCTTTTGGGGGTGATCCAAATCCCTCTGGAGGTGTTCTGGATGTCCAAGGATACTTTCTTGTTCCACCATAAACAGCAAGGGATTCAATTAGATGTAAAGTAAAATATAATTTATTAATACATATATAGGAAAGATAAGTGTGAAATAACAGCCAAAACGCGTTTCGCCTCTTGGGCTTCCTCAGTTGGCTGTGTACACGCGTTTTGGCTGTTATTTCACACTTATCTTTCCTATATATGTATTAATAAATTATATTTTACTTTACATCTAATTGAATCCCTTGCTGTTTATGGTGGAACAAGAAAGTATCCTTGGACATCCAGAACACCTCCAGAGGGATTTGGATCACCCCCAAAAGATCCTGAGGCCTTGATACCAGAGCCAGGTCCAATTGGCTCTACGTTTGTGAGTGTTTTCATCTATCACCTAGCCACACCTGTCTATAGCCATCTGCACTATTGTGTGTACCTCTCTGTCTCCACAGAACTACAAGTCGAGAAGAGAGGACTAATATTGCTCCATCCATTTTTTCCTGTTCTGTATGTATTTAACAGTGTTGGTATAGGGGATCCTACACGGGTGTTTTAGAGCAATCTATTTGTATCACTATTTGTGCATACCATTTGTTTTGTACATTATTTGCAGCTGTATGTATAATTTTAATAGCTTGTTCATGCAGTTGAGTTTCACGGTCACAGAGTTAAAGGATCCGCTTCTAGTGCAGTCATACTTAGGCCGCACAGCTCCGTAGAGACTCCAGGCAGGAGAATGCATGGAAGCCTACAGTTTGAACCAACCAATTGTTTTCCTCGGCCAGGCCTGTCAAACAATTTTACTTTAAATGATTTTATACAGGTAAACTGAAACATTCTTTTTCTATTTTTTGATTGACAATTTTATTGAGCTGAATTCTTTGTACTTTGCATAGGCTGTACATTGGTTGTGATAGTGATTAGTGATTCTAATAATTGACACTTAAGTATCATCTCCATGATCCTTTAAAAAAAAAAAAAAGGTAACCTTTTGGTAGATTTTTAAAAAAAAGTGTGCCTAGTGAAAAAAAGTTTCTAAAGTGGGGCAATCCCAATCAAAACCAGTGGAATCAACAGTAACATATAGGGTTTCTTTTGATGATTACACCACGTTTAAAACCTTTGCTTTTCTTTTCTTTTCTTTTTTTGCAATATCTTTTTTTTTTTATCTTGTCCTGAGTTTAACATTCTGAATTTAAACACAATAGTTTAAGATGCCTCACAAAGGTGATGTTAAAGTGTATTATTTACTAGACAACAAAGACCTTCTGCATTTCTGTGAAATGCCAGTTTTCCGGTATCCAAATGATAACTTATTTTTTACTAACCTTATTTTGTTATTGGCCGATAATATGTGAATTTCAACCTGTCTCTGTCTGGACTGGAAGATTTATGGATTTTGGGCTTCAGTTTCTAATTGTTTGAGAAGCTTGCGTAGACATTTGCCACTACCAATGTCCGCATAATGGCAGCCATGGTGCTAGATATCCAGTCTAGCTAAAGGGACACTCCAGTGCCAGGAAAACAAATAGTTTTCCTGGCACTGCAGGTCTCCTCTCCCTCCCACCCCCCATCCCATGTTGCTGAAAGGGTGAAAACCCCTTCAGTGACTTACCTGAGACCATGGCCGATGTCCCTCGAGGTGGTTTAGGGTCTGCCCACGCTCCTCCCCCGCTGACGTCAGCCGGCGGGGGAGACCGGTTGCGCATGCGCGGCCGCCGGCGGGATGAGACCTAATGCACATGCTTTCAATGCTTTCCTATGGGGATTTTAGCGATGCTGGAGGTCCTCACATAGCGTAAGGACGTCCAGCGACACTATAGCACAGAAAACCTGTGCTATAGACCAGGAAGTGCCCTCTGGTGGCTGTCTAGTAGACAGCCAATAGAGGAGGAGTTAACCCTGCAAGATAATTATTGCAGTTTATAAAAAACTGCAATAATTGCACTTGCAGGGTTAAGGGTAGTGGGAGTTGGCACCCAGGCCACTCCAATGGGCAGAAGTGGTCTGGGTGCCTGGAGTGTCCCTTTAACAGCTTTGAATGGTGCATTTATGTAATGCATCAGTAGGACCATTTTCACGCCCTCTGCACTTTCTAATTTATTTCTGTTTGGGAGAATTTATTACATTGTTTTGGTTGCACTTAAAGGGACACTATAAGCACCCAGACCACTTCAGCTTATTGAAGTGGTCTGGGTACAGTGTCCCAACACCCATAACTCTGGCAAGGTAATTATTTAAGTTTTGTTTTTTTATAAACTGCAATAATTTCCTTTCTGGGTTAACGCCTCCTCTAGTGGCCGACTACCAGACAGAGGGACTTCCGGATCGTTAGGTGACTTTTGGTCGCCTATCACTGGACGTCTTCACGCTATGTATGAGGACTTCCAGTGTTACCAGAATGCCCGTAGGGAAGCCGAGAGACATTGGCGCTGGACCCAGAAAAATGACAGAAGGGTTTTTAATCCCTTCTGCAATGTGCAGGGGCATGCTTGACAGAGGGGAAAGCTATAGTGCCAGGAAAATGACTTTTTTTTCCTGGCAATATAGTTTCCTTTTAAAACAATACTTTGGCTGTAATTATAAGATGAGTAAAGGTATGTTTATTTCAATTTACGTGGGACATGCTCTATAAAATCTGTGTTTTTATGTTTTTAGCTTTCTGAAATTAATCCAGAAGATGACATTTGCTTTATGCCCAATGAGCAGTTCAAAACCACATCAGACCAAGTTTGCTCTGGTATTGCATGTGAGTAAATAATACATACACATATATGTATGCAGACTTTTGTTTTAAATTGTTATTTTAGACCATAAACTAAATAATTATTAAAAATATATTTACAATAAATGAAAGGCAAGCTACAGGTAATAAACATGAATGCTATCTCACACTACTAGCAAATGTGTGCAAAACCATCATACTAACTAATAGCAGTGTTGACAATGGTGAACCAGGATTGTAGAAAAATTTTATGTGAGAATAATTACTCCCTAGTTAGGCCAGCAAACCTTATCTAAAGGGTAATAAAAAGTAATGGTAACGATACCTGAAGGATAGTAGGGTTGAAGAAGAGGGAAGATCGAAGGAGGAGACGAGGACCGTGGTGTACCTGGTTGTCATGTGAGTTCATACTATCAGAGTATCCCATATTTTATGTAAAATCGTGCTATATTATAAAAAAAAAACTAAAATTGCATTATTTTATTTTACAACAAACCATATTCCAATGCATACCCCAAACCACTGATGGCATCAGTTAAAATGTGCAGCTTGTGTCTACCACCACTAGATGGCGACAATCTCCATATAAACAAAGAGTAGAAAGTTTTTGAGGAAATATTGATAGATAAAGGTAGACTCACAAAAAAACAGACATGAATAATGTATATACTTATGCACTCCTCTTCCAGCATCATCTGCAGACAATTGCATGCCACAATGGATTGGGAGCACCCAGGAATCCGTCTGTGACTGGGAACTATCTCAATGGCCTTCCACAAATGCAAACAAGGTTAGTTTGGTTAATTACTTAGCTATTGTGTTGTGCACAAATCCCAGATGTGGTATTGCCCTTTTTAATTGCTATTAATGTGCTTTAATATGTTATGTCTTAATGTATTTAAAGAATGCATGATTTTGTCACCCTAAAAATAAATTGTTTCAAAAAGTACACCAAGTTTCCTCTGCTACAAATACAGTGATGTTTCACACTGACCAGTGTTCTCACTTGACTAGCAGTCACAGAAGTTCTAGAAAAGTTTAAAGGAATACTCCAAACACATAAAGCACTTCAGTTTACTGGAGTTCTTTATGTGTGTCCTCTTTGTTTTATTTTATAAAAGTACTGATTTTAATAGAAATCAACACTTATTTAAATTAAAAATAAAACACCACTGTGGTTGTCAGACAGCTGGGAGACGTTTCTTCTATTTGGTTTGGCTTAGTGGAGCTTGCGCAGAACACCTGTCTTTGAAAGATTTCTCAACATGCTTGAATACAGCTCCATGAGAAGTCTGTGATTGATGTGTGCAACTGGTCTACAAGGCTTCTCTGTGAGATGCCTCTGGTTGATTATTTATTTTCTGTACCAGGGAAGACTGGGAGGGCAGTCTTCAGATGCTAGATCTGCACAGGGTCATCTTTAATAATGATTGGACCCTGGTCAAGCATTTGCTAGGGCCCCCCAATCCCATACATGCAATCACGCCCTCCACCCCAACGCAGTGGCGGAACTAAAGTATAAAGATCCCTGGTGCAAGAATTTTATTTTGCCCCCCAATTGCAAGGTTGGACAAAATGTAGAACCCTATCTGTCGTTCAACTCCAACAATGCATTGACAGGCGGGGTTCTAGCAATTTCCCATGCTTGCAGGTTTGTATTTTGCACTGTTTGAATGTAAGCATGTTTTTGTATGAAGTATAGTTGCCTGAATGTGTTTGTATGTGGTGTTGGAGTTTGGATGCAAGCGTGCATTTGTGTGTAGTGTTGTTTTTTTGAATGTGTGTGTGTGTGTATATAATTTTGGTGCGCAAATACACAGATACACACACTGACTACTTACAGATAGGAGTAACTGGGCCCGGGACAGCTGCCCCATTTGCCCCGCATTAAAGATAGCCCTGGCTCTCCAGATATTCCAAGCTAAGTTTCTATATACCCCCAAGAAATATTATTTTTTTATACACACAGAAAATGTATGTATGTATACATAACACACTAACCACAGTCTGTTCTTTCAAATGTCTAGGTATGTTGCTAGACCCCAATATATCTTTTTGCCTCAACATTGAAAAGCTTTATCCAAAGCTAGGTGCCCTGTACAGAAACAAATCCTGAGTAAGCCCTACAGTAAGGAAACAGAGTGTACAACAAATGCTAATGCAAGTTATTGAATTTGGGTATGTAGTGTATGCACCTGCACCACAGAACCACCTTCATAAACTTACAACTTACTGCCGCTTTGTGCTACAATGTAATTACATGGCCCACCATTGTGACATGTTAAAAGAGCTAAACTTTCCATCACTGGCATCCAGATGCACCTTTCATCTTTCCAGCCTTGTGTGTAAGAGCTTTTTTGGGGAAGATCCCACCCTACCTGAGCAGAATGCTCTCCTGAGCTGTTCCTACGTCTTATAACCTCTGATCCAGTACCAGCACTTTATTCAGTATACCACAATACAAAAATAAAGTGGCTTGATTTTCATTTTCGTACAGAGCACCACAATTATGGAATAACCTCAGGGACACAATCAAATCTTTCTCCAATCTAATATCCTTTAAGAGATCACTGTCAACATATCTCAATACAGAATGCACCTGTAATCATGGTTGATTATATTTCTTACTTGTTCTATGCTAAAAATTATATATGTGCATTTTAATACTATTTGTCTTTTTAATATTCTATTGTAGCTATTGTAACAATGCAATGTTTGTGGGCCCGAGACATACTTGAATACAATACAAATCTCATATCTTTCCTGGCAGAATATTTTGTAAATGAATAATTATATGGTGGTTGATTTTAGGGGACACTACCAACACAGAGAGAGTCACTAAGGCTGAACTGTCCATTTTTTCTTAGACCAAGAAATGAACATACTGTGGAAAGTGACCTTTCACGAATAAGTGAGTGCAGAGTTTTTGCTATTCCAAATGAGAATTTTTGCTTGTAATGTTATTATTGGGTATTCCCTTTAAAATATTTGTAATCTTTCATTCATTCTTGTTGATATGTCCAATCAGTAGAACCCAAGTTGCATGGTTAGATGGCTGCTCATTATAATGCATTGCTTTTCTTGTTTAAAACAACACTGTCACCTTTTTTTTCTCTGCACCCCAATTTCTCTTTTGATATCCCAACCCCCTGGCTTCCCCCCGCTGCACCCAGCATTTAAACAATACGCCATGGTCTCCAACTTTTAATTTTTCCTATGATGTTCTCCAGAACTATCTTCCTATGCCATTGATGTCATTGTTGATTGAATGGTCACGTGGGGTGCCCTAAACACTGCCCCGACCAGAGGACTTAAGAAGGATTGCATTGCACTTTTGCATTGCAGTCATGATCCCGAGAGGCTTGATGTTGTGGGAGAAGAGCTTGATATCCAATAACAGAGATGACAAAATAATGACAACTTTTGTCAACCTGCTGTTAATACATAAGGAAAAGTAATCCCTGCTTTTCCTTATGTTTAGTTTTGTAAGGAATCGTTACTTTTAAGAAAATTGTAATGACAGAGGACATTGCCTTCACATTGCAAATAGGATAAACTAGAATTGTTACATTGGAGCTATATATCCAAGTGAAAAATATACTTTATATATATTTGGGGTGGTTTGTACATATTGCACACTAAAGCCTTGATTTAACATTTTTGGATATGCTTTTCAAATGATTTTATATCTTTGGATAAACGTTTGAAATGATTTAATATTATAAAACATATTTCAATATTTTGTTATTTTTTTATTTATATGTTGTTTTATGTGTGTATGTTTTTGATATTTAATATTTCTAAAAGAAAAAATATTTGAAAAGCTTATCCAACAATATTAAATTGAGGCCTAAATGCACTATCTATGTTGCCTTCATATTGTCCACTAACAAAGTTCAGGATCCCAAACTAAGAGCCCTATGTAAAAAAAAAATAAAAAAAATTAGACTGTTTACACTTTTTTATTTTTTAATAAACCGCAAATTGTGGGAAATCTAAATCCAAATTGCAATTTTAGTACTTAAACGCTTGTTTTCCGTTGTCATCTTCAAAATATGACATATCTAATTTGTCTTCATAATCAAGAATACTAGTGGAAGCTTTAACTATATAATTATTGCTAAAATATCACTTGTGCTTATTGTTTAACATTTTACCACTAGATGTTGAAGACCTTCAATTTACTGAAGTGAATAAAACCTCCAGACTCCAATCTAGACTTCAAAATCAAATGCCAGTAGTCTCTGAGCCAAAGGTAGTTCAATGTTCCAGCTTCAAGCAATTGGATGGTGCATACAAGATACCGGAATTTCACCAACAAAACGGCATCTTGCCAGAGAGTTCTAGCAGATTTTCATATATATGTCCTAATAAACTGCAGGCAGGCAACATCGAAGAAGAAATTTTTGAAGAGTATAATGAAAAAGTCAATAACTGTTTTGAACCTACTGCTGAAAGACCTAGCAAGTGGACAAAGTATGAGAGTGTCTCTCATGGAAGTGTTGCAAAGAATACAAGGGAAAAAAACAAAAATGAGGACTTCTGTCCTCAAAGTGTTTTTGGAAAGGAGCCACAAGGGATGGAAAACCAGCAGGACAGTGGTATGGATCCAACATGTGTTGCTCCCCCCACTCTACGTGGCAATCATAGCAATAATGATACTGGTTTACGATTTGAACTACTTAGCAAACACCTTACTACAACTAAACGTATTCCATATCAGTTGGTGAACAAGGGCCTACAAACTGGCATAGCAGAAAATGGACAGGTGTGTAATCATTAGCACTAAATGTCATTCATGAATATGCAATACAGCACGCAAGAATGGCCTTCTCACTGTGGTATTTCTAAATGTATAACTGTACTATTCTTTACTCTGTAAATCACAAGGCATGGTAATTTGATTACTGAATTAAGAAGGGTTGTTGTAATTATACTCAATGTTGGACATACTAAAAAATATATTGATCTTATTTATGTTTTAAGCAGCATTATAAAAAAAAATCACATTCCTATTTTCTAATTGCTTTTAAGAATGTATGTATTGTTTCCTTTCCAAGATGTCTCTCTCTTGTGATCTGTGCTTTCCTAAAAGGGAAACTGTGCTCTCTGTAAGCGTGCCTAAAAGAAAATTAAGAATTCCAGTTGCATTCCAGTCTGCGGCTCAATATAAACAAGTCTTCACTGCTTCCCTTACAGGTAGGTATTATCAATGCATAATTTTAAAATGCACTTCCTATGAGTGAGTAATGTCTCCTTTAGTGATGTCCCGAACGGTTCGCCGAATGGTTCGCCACGGACTCATCATTGAGTAAACTTTGACCCTGTACCTCACAGTCAGCAGACACATTCAAGCCAATCAGCAGCAGACCCTCCCTCCCAGACCCTCTCACCTCCTGGACAGCATCCATTTTACATTCATTGTGAAACTGCATTCTTAGTGAGCTGTCCAGGAGATGGGAGGGTCTAGGAGGGAGGGTCTGCTGCTGATTGGCTGGAATGTGTCTGCTGACTGTGAGGTACAGGGTCAAAGTTTTCCGCATATGTTCGCCGTCCGCGGCAAACCGTTTGGCGAACCGTTCGGGACATCACTTGTCTCCTTACGTAATGTGGACCTGCATTGTTTGCTTCTCATATTGCATATAGAAGACATTTCAGAGCAATAAGATAACATTTTCAACACTGCACACTGTTATAATCTTTTTATTTGAAGTTAGAATTGAGTACATTGCTCATTTTTAGAAATCATGTTCCAGACTAGCTAATGATGCTGTGTGGATGAGTTGTGCTGAAATTCTGCACATACGTAGTCCAAGCACCATGACTACTTCAAATCAATGTGGTCAATGTTGTTGGAGTAATCCTTTCACTTATTTGACACACATCCAATATGCAATGTAGGTATGTTAGGCCTTTGACAAATTTGTACACTGGAATAAAAACAGCATACCTTGTTATTTAAGATTGTAGGCTGGCACACAGCATAATCTATAAAATAAGATAAGTTTCTGATTTGTTTATCTGTGCTTTCATCACCATTGTTCTGACATCAACCAACATGAGCTTATATTTAACCATTGCTTTTGCACACATTTTAAAGTGTCTGCTCTTTTGTGTTTTCATGTAGAGCATTTAAATATAATGATGTTTGAGTTGTCCCAGCGACTGCACAAGGCTTTCTCCAAAGCAGATATATCTTTCTACAGTTCACCAAGTGAGGAGGAGTACCATGATAACACTTCTAATACTCCCCATTGTCTGCACCAACAGCCAGCAAAGCTTTTAATGGTTAAAAAAGAAGGCCCCAATAAGGTAATTTATTTGTTTTACTGTTATAATATTTGGGATTGATATTGATGGTTTTAATTTTTGGCATGTACACATCTAAAATAACCACTCATAGCTGAAAGGGACATAGATATACAGAAGGTTTACAGTGGATAAATGATTCTGTCTTTTTAGGGACGTTTCTTTTATACTTGCGATGCTCCCAAAGCAGACCAATGTAAGTTCTTCAAATGGATGGAGGAAGTAAAATGTACAAATCAAGCACTGGGACCCTCCGATCACAAGACTGTAATGAGAGATATGAAGAGTTTGTCTAGTTATATCAGATGTCAGAATATTGCCCTGTATGAAGAAAGTCAGATTATATTTAGGTATGTACTAGTAAGTATTTTAAAAACACATCAAAGTTGAACATTAAAGTACCTTGTAGTGGTAGCAGCACTGGCAAAACATTTTGCTACTAGTGACCCCAGCAGCAATACTTTGCATGTGAGAGAAAAACACCTTTTGGAACAGTCGAGAATCTTATTACCAGTACTGAAACAGTATTATTCCTTTAAAAGATACTCCGACATATTAATCCGTTCTCAAAACATTTTGTAAACCACTCTGTGTGCCTCAGTCTCATCAGCTGCCAACTGTACATCCATGCAGCTGAGAGAGGAAATGAGAAAACAGTTAAAGTTGCCTATGTGGTGTCAACACCGTGCACATACAAGTTAGATAAAGCTATAATGGATATTGTAAAGAAGGATATAAAATATTTGAGGAGATGCAGCAATCTCATAGCGGTATTAAATGTTACAAATTACTGCAATTGTAAATCACCGTAGGAAGGAAAGCAGGTAACATCATGCTCTCTGCAACATAACCTTCATTAAGGTTGAAAAGTTGTTATGGTGCTTAGTAGTTCCTGTTTATATTTGTAACTTAACTATGTTTGCATGTATTTTTGATATACATGTAAGCACTCAAGTTCTTGGGCAGGTGATTGCCCAAGGTAAAACACAAATTGGGAGAAATCTGATGAGATACCCTATTAACATAATACGAGAAGATCTTCTTGAACTGTTCCTTCATTGTAGAATACAGTATATTTCTGAACTGCAATCTCACCCTTGTGTATTTATATGCATATATCAATAACTCGATTGTGGTTCCCATTAGTTTCTAGGAAATCTGTTATAATAATGTCTTTTACAGGAAAATATCTGGATTTCATCGAAGACAGCTTGGCAAGTTTAAAAAAATTGTTAATGCTGATTCAACATTTGGAGATGAATCAAAAACCAAAATTTACCTTAAATTAAGCAGGAAAGGTAGCTCTTCAACATACAACAAAGGTAATTCAATATGCTTTGCATTGTCTAAGTAAAACAACGACAAAAGAACCACTTTTAAGAGCTGGTCACGTTTTATTTTGCTGTCTTTTTAACACAGAATTGTATAACTGTAAGCTTCACTGTCTTTAATTATTTGAATTGCTGAAATGTACTAAGCTGTGTATATCTGACTTGCCTCTTCTCCACTAAAAAATATATATATATATAGTAACTGTTTTTTATTAAATTACCAATTTCATAGATGACCTTTGGGTTATTTCCAAGACCCTTCATTTTGAGCCCCTGGACACTTTTATTGCTTGCAGTGTTTTCTTTGGACCTTCAGCTAATAATGACATAGAGATCTTTCCTCTTAAAGGATATCACCCTTCAAACTGGCCATCAAATAGTAAGTCATTTTACTTTACGCTAATACACATTTATGTTCGTTTGTGTATTTTATTTTTACAAATGGAAGTGCCATTTCCTCCTTATACTGTTAGCACTAACTATAAAGCCTTAGACATTTCCCTATCAGAGTTATGCTAATCGTATTTATGACTTCTTAGTTTTCTCACCTAGCAGATGGGAAGCATGCATAGTTTTCAGGTTATAGACGAGAAGGGAAACTTAAATTGAATTTCAATTCAAATTAATAATCTACCTCGATTTATATAATTTTGGTTATTTAAAAGTGATAATAATGTAGCGCTTCATACAAAATAAAGTATATAATACACAACATAAAGTATATCACTTTAAAGTGCATGTGCTAAAGCTTTATATTCCTTAGTGCAAATCACAAGTGTCACCGTTCAAGTGCCAAAAAAATAACTTAAAGGAACACTATAGGGTCAGGAACACAAACCTGTATTCCTGACCCTATAGTGTTAAAAACTCCATCTAGCCCCCTCTTGCCCCACCCTTTGCATCCCTAAATATAGTAAATTCTTACATTTATTGCAATCTGCTGCTGCTGGCTCTGCCCCTGATCTGCCTCCCTGACTGACATCATCAGAAGTGCTGATCCATCAGAAAGCATCAGATTGGCTGAGATTGTCAATTCTGATGATCTCAGCCAAGGAGGCCGGCCGAGGGTGGAGTCAAACACCGCCCTTGTCAGTTAGCATCTCTTCATAAAGATTTGTTAAATCAATGCATCTCTATGAGGAAAGTTCAGTGTCTCCATGCAGAGGGTGGAGATACTGAATGCCATTGTCCCACGAACCACCCCTTGTGGCCAAATGAGGAATGGCCACTGTAGGTGTCCCTAGGCTGTAATGTAAACACTGCATTTTCTCTTAAAATACAGTGTTTACTGCTAAAAGCCTGCAGGGACTGACTATACTCACCAGAACAACTACATTAAGCTGTAGTTGTTCTAGTGACTATATAGTGTCCCTTTAATACTTAGCAATGATTGTAAACTTTGGGATGGTTGAAACCTTAAAAAAATTTAATGGTATATACAGTCGTGCAATATTTCAATAATATTATAAAACACCCATATAGGTTTAAATGCAAACGCCCACTCATGTGAACTAGTGTCTGAAAAATGTCTCTATTTCTTGCGCTTTGGAGACTCCTCCTCTCTTTGGTTTCCATGTGGAACTTCAAAATAAGAACAGGTAGAAAGTATGTGGTGTAGTATGTTCAGGAAACCACAAACTTACAAAAGAGATTAAGAAACACATATGTATTGTAGAATCTCCCTTTGGCTTATCAAATGTGTAGTGCGTCTACCTTGGGGTACGCCACCCTTAGTAGTTTTGCTGCTGTACAGAGTCATTTGGACAACATAATTTGCACATTATTGACCAAATTTAACAATATCCAAATTTTCGTAAACAGGCTCCAAATGAACATTAGTAGCCAGTGAGCAAATTGTTAAAAAAATAAGTAATTCTCTTCAGTAGAAGGCTTAATCATGTGGCGGCTGACTAGCGCTTGCTAGCCAGCCAACACATTAAAAAAGGGAAAAAAATCAAATGTAACCTTATTGTCAGTGTGACACGCAGGAGAGGCTCATCCATAGGAGAGATGTTTCACAATTTGTTTTATTTGCAATAGTTTAAAACACTAAGATTCTATGGGGGAATAGGGGACTATTGGGAAGAAAGTATATTCATTTACTCCAGTCATTGCCTAGGTGTATGTCAAAGTTTCAAAATAATACAAATAATCTTTGTCACTTTCATTCTATTATAAGTTTTAGTTCTGCAGGGCCCCTTCCACCTTATTGGTGTCAGCTTGGAGAAGCTTTCTTGAGCGCAACTAGGCATGTGGAAAAAATTGGACAGATTTGAAATCTGTTTTCTTTCAGCAGGTTTTGCATATGCCTAGTCTCCTTTAATAAGAACATTTCAGGGGCCTCCCATTGAGTTGCCATTCAGGCAGCAGCTGCCCATGAGTGGAGGCATGCTGTGTATAGTGTAGGCTCAAGATGCAAGGGTGGACTCTGAGCATAGTCCGACACCAGGGAACAAAGTTAGGACTTTCAGCTAAGGAGCCAGTGGCTGCTCACTGTAACTATAAAGTCATGACTTGGCAGCCATTGCTGCCCAGTCAGTAGAAAGACCCCATTCTAAAGTCGGGAGATAGGCTGCATCCCCATATAAAATAATGGGGAGACCTGCACATGACCAGCAGGTATGAACTATTATTTAAAATCCATGGGGGATATCCTAAGGACCTAAGGTGCCCCTAGATCCTACCCATGGGCAGCAGATGGGGTTTAATAATAGCATATACAAGTGGGGGGTGAAAATATCAGTGCCTCCCTCCACCTGGCAGGAGCTCTCAAGCCCATAGCCATCCCCAAAATAAAGAAAATTTTCCTACCACATTATAATTTAATTTAAATGGTTTGTTCTTTAAGATTAAACATTATGTTGTAAGACTTCTTTTTTAGTAAATTTCTTGTCTCCTGGATGCGGCTTGTAATATGTCGGCCAAACCACTGGCAAATTTAAGGTGAGAAATAAATTAAGAAAAAGTGTATAGGCGCTTCAGAAGTCTAATGTGCACTATGCTTAGCTGGTTATAAGTGCTCCCCTAGCGCTATAAATAAATGCAAAAGTAAACAAAGTAACACCAACAAATATAATACGATAATATATATAGAATACTTTAAATTTAAACAGTACATTCAGTACAATTTCACAAGCAGATTATATTATGTCTAAAAGAAATACAAAAAGCATATACTGTAGCATAAAACTCTATATCAACCGGGGGGGCTTGACCTTGGAGCCAAGCAGACATGTATCCCTACAGCTCCTGCACTATACAGCACATTAAGCCGCATAGCAACGAGTGAATGCTGATACCCGACAAATTTTGGTACCTAAACGACAGGGGACCATAAAACCTACCCAACAATACCACATATGGGGAACTACTTATCGTCTCCGCCAGAACGGATCTTGCGGTCTACAAGCATGGACAGCGCAGGGGAGGTGGCCGCTCTCCAACTGCCACAATATGCTGTACACTCCAGCCTGGTTCCCCCCCACCCCCGCTATGGACCAGCAGGGGTTATCCCGATCCCCATTGACCCGATGCACATATCACCAAGGGCCCGCGGCTGTATTCTATAGTCCAAGTTACAAATACATTGTCTTGCAAGATGGCAGACGCACCCCAACAAGCAGTACCTACACTAACACAGCCTGGTGGGAACTGTCACAATCTTGTGGAGAACTCACTCTTGCAAATAGACAAGCTGTTCCAACCATTTTGGGACCATCTGGAGCAACGCATCTCACAGACGCCACTTAACACTGAGAGAGAGGTGAGGAGAGCTGAGAAGTTTAGACGGAGTTGGGCCTCTCTTGGACAATTCCTACATCCCTGCACCCACTACTTGTGCCAAATGCTGACCTAGGCCGAAAGCCACACGGAGAAAGCCTCAGCAGCATCGCCGACATCACCGTAAGAGGCAGAACATCTGGACCTTCCGTAGCGTTCATAATAGGGAAGACCCAGTCTCAAAGAACTCCTGAGTCTGTGAAACACAGGTGCTCACTTTCCATAGGGCGTGGAGCCTTCTCACACTTTCGACTTGCCACCCCCCTTGGAAACATCAGGTTCAAGGTGCCTCCATACTCCGTATGGGTCTTGGTTGACTGTAGACTTTATGGTTTGCAAAACCTGCTTGCTAACACCCCTAACGTGTGCTCCCCTACTAGTATCGGACACCCTTTGTCTCATCCAAGTTATAATGTCTCTTAGGCTTTTCCTATGTAGACGAGTGAGCCAAGCCTTTACTTTGTACAACTAGTTTTGTCTACTACTCTCATGTCTGCTGTACCCAATCTGCATAAAAGTTTACCCAATGACATGCATTAGACACTTGTGCCTAGCATGCTTTAGTTAAGAATCTTTCTGACTTAACTATGATGCTGACTGCAACGAGAATGTATGCTAATAAGCCTTTTTTTTTTTTTAATTCTTTATTTTGGGTGTGCACAGAGTTAACAGTTAGCCTTGGTGTGCCACAACAGCAACATCAGGTACAATTGGTAAACATTGGTAATACATGTCATGGCATTCGTTATGCAGGCACAGTTTTTAATATGATTTCTTTTGGTGATTCAGCAAAATGCACATGTCATGAGAGAATATGCAGAGGAGAGACATAGGAAGAGAACATGACTTGTGCAGTGATTATGTAAACAAGGTTATGTGTACAAGATTCTACAGTTAGGTTCATGCTAGGTTGATTAACGTGGTGATTGTACTTCTCTCATGTCTGCCTAAGCGGTGATTGAGTGGTTACATGCTATGCTAGACTTAAACTAGGGTGTGGGTGGCTTGAAAGCAGAGCTGAAAACATAAAAGCAGTGTCCACAGTTTAGAGTATACTTCGATGTTTGAAGTGTCCACCCCATGCTGGCCCTGTGTCAGCCAGACGAGTATCCGTGTAGGTATGTAGGCGACCCTTCTTTACGCGGTGAAGATTTTTTTTAGTGGAACAAAGGCTTGGTGACTGCAGGATTATTTATAGTCCCGTTGGGTGTCGTTATAGGGGTTGCGATGTTCCCTTTGTGGGGCATTATGCTGTCCAGCTGGGTGTCTGTCTTGGACATGAGGCGTGGGAAGGATGTGAGAGGAGTCCCAGTATGGCATCTGTAGGTGGTCAGGCCGAACGGTCTCCATCATGTGCGATGGGGATCGCCCCTCCGGGGGACTAGAACCTCGCGGCAAGCCTCTCCCCAGAACCAGGGCTGCCTCTTGCACTAGGGTACTGCTGTCAGTCGTTGGGTAAGTATAATGCTGGTTTTTAGAGGCTTAGATTAGGGAGATTTGTAGGAGCTACTCCACTGTGCGTCCTCTCTTCATGGCGGTCCGGCCCTGCCCCCTGCTAATATGCCTTTTAACATGGTCCCACAATGTATAGTACACCAATAACACATGCTTATCCAGCCAGTTCACTAAACAATGCAGTTTCTCTTGTTTCCTTACTTTTCCTTTACTTTCCCAGAGTGAGTGTTGTTCTACCAAATGTCATGGTATCATTTATGTTGAATTGTCTCCAGTAGCTTGTAACAGCTGTTGTCGCATTACAGGCCAGTATGTTACTCCAAGCACCAAAAAAATTAAGATTTACAAAAAAAAAAAAAGTATATCAACAGTAATGCTAAATGTAGAATGGAATGGCACTCACTTGCCCCAAAGCCATACTGGGCTTTGTAGAGAAAGCCTTAGGGTGCCTATACAGGCTTGGATAAATGCTCCTCAATAGTGGGACACAGGAACTCTAATGTAAAAGTAAGTATTATTTATTGTACTATAAGGATTAAAAACAGGATATTTAATAAAAACAATAAAATAATATAGTAGGTGCTCCTAATTATAGTAGTGAGAGTGCTGTATAGCAAATGTCCAAAGAGATAGGTTCACCGCCAGCAACACCGCAAAGTAAGAGAGTCTCCGTCTGTGCAGGCAGGTTTCGATCTTCCACAAGTCTTCTTCACGTGCACAGGTCGAAAGGTGTCTGCACAGAATGCATTTAGCATTACTGTCGATATACAGTTTTACACTATGTTTTTTGTATTTGTTTTAGTTATATGATATTCCATTTGTGGAACTGCACTCAACACACTGTTGAAATTCTAAGTATTCTATATATATAATCATTAACTGAGTGTATTATTTTTGCTGGTGTTTCACTTTGATTATTTTTGCATAAATTTAAGGTGAGGTTTAAGGAACACTGTCTGCTATGTCCAATCCTAAGTCTAATACTTCCATTATAGTTTATTATGAGCATGAAAACATTGATACTTATTTCTGTATATTTTACCTTTTATCAAATATAAACATTAGGCGGTTTCTTTTCCTTGTCTTCAGGCGTTGTCCATGCATTGCTGGTTTGCAATGCAAGTGCAGAGCTGACATCGCTCAGAAACATACAGGAGCACTTTAACCCATCCACGTTACCACTAATGCCTCGCCTTCTGGAAATGTAAGTGATTATGGATTATGTAAATCTGGCATTTTTTGTGAATCACTAAAGACTGTTTAATCCAAAAACTCTCCCCACCATTTTCAACAAATCTCATACGCCAGTTATGTGTAGATACCTTCTCGACACATTGAGGTTCTACTATTACCAACTCTTGACTTTTGGGACATCAAGTTCCTGGTAGAATCTCATATATGTTTTCAGTTTAGGAAAAAAATACTTCTTAGTCCATTGCAAAATACAAAGTGGAATCGGAGGAGAATTAATAGGCTGTTGCAGATTGGATGTAATTGCAGTTGTCACAGTTTAATTAACACACACTTAAAATTACTTAAGGTGGTCTCGTTATCGAGAAGATCTCAATAGCTCTTTCCGATAACTGGATTATTTTTCTATAATTGAGGGGAGCCATACTCCCCAAAACACCCTTGTAATTCATAAAACCAGTGTTTCAACAGTTTATTTTTACAAGTTAATGAAAAATACTAGTTATGCACACTTTTCTATTCCTTACCCTCTCACAAACTAAATTTCTTACTTTGCTACTTATCTTACTCTGCACTAAACTACTTTCTTTCTTGCCGCGGGTGGGAGTGCCGGGGGTGGGATGTGACATGAAAAATTACTACAAACACCAGCTACACTAGTTACCTCTTAAGATAGACTCTTCCTCTTAAACTCGCCAATGGTTCTACGAGTCTCCTCATTAAACATAAAAGCCCTTAACTCTCCCAACAAAAGACAACTCCTGTTCCTGGACCTAAAGAAAAAAGGAACAGATATTGCATTTATTCAGGAAACACACCTACCTAGAGCATCCCAGATCCATCTGAGAAATCGCACATGTGACAGAACATTCACATTCGGAGCTCTGAACAAGAGAAACAAGGTGGCAATATTGTTACATAAAAGGTGCACATTACAAGTTACACAAACACAGGTAGATCAGGAAGGTTGCTACTTGCTAGTTACAGGGACAATATATTCAATGACCATGCCCCGTACCATGACCATCTCCTCTATCAATAGGTCCCAAACGCACTAACTATAGTCAAGCATTCTGGGATCATCTGATTAGTTTGATTCAGGTGCTACCCCATATAGCTTGGTGGGAGGAGACTTTACTGCAGTGCTGCCAACAGAAGCATTAGACAAGGAATGATGTGCTCACAGGAGAACAGAGGAGAGGAGGACAGGATGATCATTGCATTGGAGAGCCTAACATCCAGACTAAATTGACTATACATACAGTGAAAAAAAGAAAGTTACCTGAGCTCTCGCTTAAATCCCTATGTATAGTTAAACAAATGGAAGTTATTGAGTTACTCCAATGGCCATTGGAGGGAATGCCCGCCTGCCCCGTCAAGGCAAACCCCCTCAGGTGGGTCCTACACTAACCTTTCACCTTGCTTCCTTGAACTTCTTTTGAGCTCATGAAGCAAGGTGAAAGGGAGCTTTCAGGGTAAAAAGTAAACTTTGAAAACTCAGTTGCTACACTCATATACCTGTCAGTGGCGGTAAAAATAAATATCCTCCTTAGAATACTCTTTCTTTTCCAAGCACTACCAATAACGGTTAAAAAAAAATATTTGCTAAGCCCACAAAGAGCTATTGATAATTTTTGTATGGCAAAAAAACTAAATAAACAACAAAGCCCAAAACTTATTATATAAACCTAAAGTCGGGGGGGGACCTATAATACTTGTTAACTCATTCAGCCCAAGTGATAAGATGGCACTCACCATCTGACAGTAGAAGATGGGTGTATCTAGAGTCTCTTCTCATGTGGCAGGACTTGCCATTATTTTACATAAGCATACCTAGAGATCACAGGATCCTCCTCAGAACCTCATGTCTAGCAATTCTAAGCTCCTTAAAAATTACTCCTGTGCTGCGAAACAGGGACTTTTTACCAGGCATGAGAGAAAACACAGGAGTGCAGAGATATGTTCACTTATATCCACTTATATCAAGACAATAAAATTGGCTTGTTTCAACAAATAAAAACTGACACAGACCTCAGCACCAAAGATTACTTTAGATATTTACAAATACGTAACTTCGCTTCATTACCACTAGGATTCAGAATTAAAGGAATGGGGAGCATTAAAATACATGCATTAATGGTAGAAAGGCCTTGGGGGTCATTGAAAGGAGAAGAGTGGGAGGAAATTTGGGAGCCTGTTCTAAATCATCTATATGCAAAAACCACACAACAACAATCCTATAAAACATTATTCCAATGGCATACAACACAAGTACAATTATGCCACATGGGAAGGTTGCCTTGAGATTCATGTTTGTGTCTGTGTAGTCACAGAGGCTCATAAACTCATATGTGTTGGCTCTGCCCAAAGGTAATGGTATATTGGTCAAGCGTTGCTATCCCAGGTTTTCCATAGACAGATACTCCTAAATGCATGGTCCTTTTTGTTATCAAAATGTTTTGATGGCTTTCAAGGATGCAAAAAACAACTTGTTAATACAATCACACTAGCAGCTCACAGCGCCCGCCCGGAGTCAGGTATGATTACAAATTGAAGTCCCAAATATGGAAGCAGTACTAAGTCAAACAAAAGATATGTATATTATGGACAAGCTAAATGCCTAGGTCTGATATTCAATGGGCTCCTTCCAAAAATACATGGTAGCTTTGGGAGTCTTACTGTCCCACCTGAGGAGGTAAGGACCAGGGTGCATAGAGAGATCTTTCCAGTCACGGGGTACCTGACCCTCCCTCCTCCCCTTCTTGGCGGTTCTCTGAATAACTCCACAGCTTTTCCTCTTCTCACCTCTAACTACGTTCTCTGCTTTATTTTTTTAATCTAATAATTATTATTGCCAAAATGAGAGGCACATCCTGGATTATAGCCTATGTGTAGTGTTAAAGTCAGACAGATGAAATACACATGAAAAAAAGGCAAAATATATTATACACCACTAGCAGCACAGTAGAATTGGTTTTAACTTTGTTAATTTCTTTATTAGTTCTTTTTTTAAATGCATTTAAAAAAAAACGCAGACTGAGATATGTTCCTTTTAGAAAAGCATGCCACCTCAGAACTGTTTTATTGGTTCAAAACATTGCAATCTTTATCTTAAACATTGTTGTGTAATGATGCAATGCGTCTTCATGTCAAGTGTATGAAACAAACTGACTGTCCAAAAATAAAGAATTTTACATAAATAAATTCATATGGCAAGTTCTTTACAGTAATATTTTGAAAGCAAACATATATAGTAAATACACAAAGAGTACAACAATGAAAGAGCAAATATATGAATCGGTATTTAATGTCGTGCCTCATTTGCTATTCGTGTCATATCTTTAAACTGGAGTACATTTGAGTGGACTGAAGGTTAGTTTTATATTTAACTTTTCTTATTCCGCTGCAGGAACAGTAAGCCAGCAAATTTAGGAAAAGTAACCAGAGGGAGATTTAATCCACCGAACCTTATTGCGAAAGTCTCCCACAAACACAGGCTTCCTGATTCCGACTTCGTACTGGATTTATCAGTGAGCATGATTAGACAGTTTAGCTTAAATGAAGACCAAGCAGCCGCTTTAATGAAAATAGCACAGATGATGACTGCTGCTGATGCACATCCGGAGCCACAGCCCCAGCCGATCACAATTATACACGGTAAATCACTGAATTTTACATAGTTGTAGAATTATCTCAATAAAAATACAGGTGTTGCTTATTCCCTGATACACACCAATTAAACTAGGCATTGTAAAAAATATTTGTATTCCAATAAACTTGTATGATGAATTTCTAATTTAATTAACATACAAAAAAAAAATACAGGACTTTTCTAATGCTTTCCATCCTAACCCTTTAAGGACCAATGTCTATGTTGTCAAAACTATTTGTTATGTAAATATCATTTTGCTAAATGGAATGATATACTCAGATTAAAAAAGTGGTTTGGTGTGTAGATCGTGGCCCTGTAGTCTCACTGCTCAATTTTCTGCCATTGTCTATTAAAGGGGCACTGTAGTATAAGGAACTCAAACACGTATTCATGACAGTATAGCTCTAAAACCACAGTTTAGGTGTTAGGCACTCCTAACCTTGGGTTAGAAAGGTGATTTTACTCCCCCTTTTCCAGCGCCACGAGGGGCTCCTCATATCTTGCCCCACTTCTCATCTGCCTCCTTTGCATAATCAGATTTCCTTATTTCAGCCAATCCAATGCTTAACCATAGGAAAGCATTGGGAGGCTATTGCACATGCGCCGCAAAACGCTGCGCCAATCAGCATCTCCTCATAGAGATGCATTGATTTAATGCATCTCTATGGGGAACATTCAGTGCCTCCATGCAGGGTGTAGAGACACTGAACTGCAGTGATGCACACTGTGCAGCACTGCCCCAGGGAGCACCTATAGTGACCGTCTGAGGCGTGGCCACTAGAGCTGTTCCTATGCTGTAATGTTTACATTACAAAGCCTGCAGAATAAAGCAGTCACACAAGATTCCAAGGGCAGACAGACCAATTTGTGCATAGCATGAATTGAGTACAAGAAAGCCTATGGCACAATACCATGCACATGGATACTTGAATGCTTGGCTCTGTACACGATCATCAAGACACTTCGATCATCAAGAGCGTTTATCAAGAACTTATTGAGCAGGTAGAGAATGACCCTAGAAGCCAATTCCAGAATAAGTGCACAAGCGAATGTCAAATGTGGCAAATACCAGGTTGATGCATAGGCCTCAACCACATTAGCCAGATCATCATAAAAAAGGGAATACGCAAACAGGATCAAGAATGGAGTTACCATTAGCCACCTCCTCATTTGGAAAACCTCAAGCTGTATTGCAAGAATGAGCAGGTATTGACTCACTGATCCACATAATTAGAATATGCAACAAAGATATTGAAATGTTGTTTGGACTAGATAAGTATGGGCAGATGATGGCAAAAAGAAGGAAGGTGAACAATAGGATACCAAATAGGAGACGTGGAGTAGAATAATACCTGAAGAGGCAAGGAGGATACCAACAACCAAGTACATTCAGAGAGTAGGACAGGTCCTGAAATCCCAGCTCAATGGCAAGAACATGATCCATATCATCAACACATACATCCTATCTGTCACTATGTACCCAGCTGCAAAAATAACCTGGCCAAGAGAAGAGCTGGATATCATAGATATCAAGACCCAGAAACTACTCACAATGAATGAAGGATTACATCCAAAATCCAGCACCCAGAGAGTATAAATTAGCGAACGAAAGGAACTTGGTCAGGCCTGATGAGTGTCAAGGCTAGAGTCCTGGATGAAATACAGAGGATCCACAGGTCCATCACGAAGATGACTCCCAAAGATGACATAGACAACATAGAATGTGATGGCAGATGAGAACCATTCGTCCCATCTAGTCTGCCCAATTTTCTAAATACTTTCATTAGTCCCTGATCTTATCTTATAGCTAGGATAGCCTTATGCCCATCCCAAGCATGCTTAAACTCCTTCACTGTGTTAACCTCTACCACTTCCGCTGGAAGGCTATTCCATGCATCCACTACCCTCCCAGTAAAGTAATACTTCCTGATATTATTTTTAAACCTTTGCCCCTCTAATTTAAGACTGTCCTCTTGTTGTGGTAGTGTTTCTTCTTTTAAATATAGTCTCCTCCTTTACTGTGTTGATTCCCTTTATGTATTGAAATGTTTCTATCATATCCCCCTGTCTCGTCTTTCCTCCAAGCTATACATGTTAAGATCCTTTAACCTTTCCTAGTAAGTTTTATCCTATAATCCATGAACCAGTTTAGTAGCCCTTCTCTGAACTCTCTCAAAAGTAACAATATCCTTCTGGAGATACCGTCTCCAGTACTGCATACAATATTCCAAGTGAGAACTCACAACATTATGAGCACTTCACTCTTTCTACTGCTAATACCTCTCCCTAAACAACCAAGCATTCTGATAACATTTCTTGCTGCTCTATTACACTGTCTGCCTACCTTTAAGTCATCTTAAATAATTACCCCTAAATCCCTTTCCTCAGATGTTGAGGTTAGGACTCTCAAATATTCTACACTCTGCCCTTGGGTTTTTACGTCCAAGATGCATTATCTTGCACTTATCCACATTAAATGTCAGTTGCCACAGCTCTGACCATTTTTCTAGTTTACAGCAACCAATACTTACATAGGATGAAAAGAGACATGCGTCCATCAAGTTTAGCCTTCCTCATATTTGTTTTTTGCTGTTGATCCAAAAGAAGGAAAAAAAAAGTTTGAAGCACTTACTGTGACAAAACCCACTATTTTGCTTGCATAGGAGATATCCTCCTCCTAAGTTCTATAACAGGTTCCTGAACCCCATTCATCTTTTCCCTGTTCGGGAACTACCATCTCCCGAACACCGACCACCCCTGGCTCATTAAACATCAAAGAAAACCACAGAATTAGGTGCTCTCTCTGTATGGCAAAAATGCAGGCAGCGGGACCTGGTTATCGAGTGTCTGTAACTACAAGTCGGACACTCGACCACATGAACACTGGTGAAAGTATACGAACGCCTGCTTCTTTCAGTGACAAGCCAGGAGAGCGGTGTTCGGTAGGTTTGTTCGCACGAACAAGGCGAACAAATGCTACCTATGAGCCAGGGGATCCGTTCGACTTTTTGTAAGTTTTTGAACTCCTGAAACTGACAGACCGCTACCCCTGAAACTCTGGAACTGATTTGGGAAGACGCCTCATGTGTGGTCGGTCAAAACTTTGCCCCATGGCGATTCGGCTGAATTTGTGGGATCTGGACAACTTGGATTCTCAGAACCAGGCTATCCGGGGATAAAATAATTGTGGGGGTTCCTATATGTTTTTTTATGTATTTTTATATTTTATGTTTTTATGCTGAGTCCCTCTGACACAGAATATTGTGTAGACATTCTGTGGGAGTGTTCTGGGTGTATTTTACTGCCTCCTTGTTTTGTATATGAGTGGGACAGTTGGCTGTAATAAACACATTCGTTTCTACCCTTCATTAAGGCAGATGTTGGGGAACTTAGAGCTATAATCACTATTTTGCTTGGGAGTCTGAAGATTTTTAATGGATATACTCAGCCGGAGTATAGGGGATTTGTTGCACTTCGAATTTTGCAAAAAAACTAGGGGAAAAAATCCTCTCTTGACCCCAGAATGGCAGTCCATTTAATCCATGGATCAAGAAGCATTTACCCTACATTGAAAAATTACATCCTTTAATATTCAGTTTTTGCAAGTATGCATCTAGTTGCTGTTTAAACATCTGTACGGACTCTAATAAAACCACTTCTTCAGGCAGAGAATTCCATATCCTTATTGTTCTTACAGTAAAAAAACCTTTCCTTTGCCTTAGACTAAATCTTCTTTCTTCCAGTTTAAACACATAACCTCGTGTTTTTGAGGTTGACAGCCAGGGGTGGTCAGTGTTCTGTGCCAATAAAGAGGGGGACCACACAAGTTCTGTTCGGTCAACGAACAGGGGGATACGTATCAGTTCAGGAAAATTAAACATTCGGTTTGGGCAACATCGGAATGTGACAAGGTCCGCCACAGCGGCAAATCAACAAAAGTGGGAGGTCTACCACACCAGACTGGACCCACCGTGCAGACTGTGCAAAAAGGTCTCCAAGACAATCCAGGACATAATAGCTAGTAAAATATGTTAGCAAGGACAGCATACTTTGGGAGAATTGCTGGACTTAAGTAACGAAACATCTGCTCAGAATATGGGATGAATCTGAAGTCTAGATGGGAAACACCACAAAGGGCAGTTGAGGATGATAGGGCTAAGATCTTGTGGTACTTCCAAAAGACTGCAGTGATGGTGGATGTGGCAATACCGAGTGACCATAACATCTAAAAGAATAAACATGAGAGGTGGGAAGCGTTAGATATGTCCTCTATTTTTTTATTTAATATTTTAATTGAGGGAGAATTTACCATCTGAGACAGGGGAAACTGGAATGTAATTATTATTCATGTTACTTGTGGTGCATCATGGAATACGTTTGCACAACAACTGCACTTTTATTGTTATTTCTGTTTTTCTACATATGATGATGTGTTTTTGCAGGCACACTGAGGTGATTTTGCTGCATGTTTTAGTGCAAAAGCTTAAAATGCACTATTGGTAAGATGATATTGTGACTGACCGCCTGGCACCCCGACCGGGTGCCACTGTCAGTCGATGCTCCTAGTGCTCACCGAGAGCTTCAAGCACTCCACCAGACACCATCAGCACCGCAGTCCGCATGTCCAGCGTTACAGCCTGGCTGGGAACCCGCCGTCCTACACATGGACCCAAGACCAGGATCCAGCTTCCAGTGGGTGAACCTCTCCTATTTCAGAGAGCGTAGCAGGAACAGCTCTTAAAAGAGTTAGTGATTATAATCCCAGGGGACTATAGTGGCATAGCAATCCCCAGGGTAGATACAGCCTTTTCCCCCACACATGAGATGAGACTCTATGTTGAGGGCAAACCAGGAACTCAATTTTAATGAAGGCACACTGGCCTTTTATGCAGGTTTCCCAACAAAGGTGACGCCCAGGTGGACCTTGTTGGGCACAGAGACACAAAGTGTACAAGCCAATAGAAACAATGTGACAATAAATGACACTCCCACACCCTGTGATATAATTAAGGCAGATAATGCATTAACTTAATTAGGCAGAAAAAACACACATTTTTATAAAGTCCAATAAGTACCCCAAACCACAACATATACCCATAAAAGTTATATCCCCTGATAGCCACGATCTGGGTGAACAACATATCCAAAAATCACCCAGATCATTTCAGGGGTTCAGGAATGACCAACCATGCACATGGTCCTATGCCCAAAACAGTTCCAGGGAAATCAGTGCTAACAGTTGGTCAAGTTTGGTAGTCTTTTACAGGTTTCCCTGCAGGGACCATAGTCTGTGGGAAGGAGGCTGGCAAGCAAGCCCCTCCAAGTACAAGTGGCGAGGTTCCTTTCGCCACAGATATTTATTATGTTTATATAATTGTAATACATTTCTAGATTGGGAATTTAGATGGCATGCTGTTTTGGAGGTGTAGTTAAAGAAATGTTTTTCTCAAATTAAACATTGCAAATTACATATAAAGCTAGAGTCCAAATGGAGGAGAACCTTGTATATAATTATCAGAAGGAGTCAAATACTGTAAAAACGATTACCTTTAGTAAATAGCTAACATTGATGAAGCACAATCATAAAAATGTGTAAATCATCCTGCAATAGCTTGGTGAATGTTTAAATGTATTTCTTTTACCAACTTATAAATAGTGCACAGCTTTTTAATTAACAAAATTCCATGTACACTTATGTATAGGTTGTATAAGGCACAAAGCAAAGTTCACTCCCGGTATTTGCACTGTGTATATGCAATCATATTCATATGCTCTTTGAAAATAAATTATCAACAATTCTGTTTGTTTTCTTTTTAGGAGTTTTTGGAGCTGGAAAAAGTTATTTGCTGGCCGTGGTGGTCTTGTTCTTAGTTCAAATATTCGAAAATACTGATCAAGATGTAGGATCTGGATTGTCTCCTTGGAAAATTCTAATTTCTTCATCCACAAATGTTGCAGTTGACCGGGTTCTATTGGGGTATGTTAATTCCTGTGTTATTAATATTGTTGTCAACTACCCATCTCAAAACCGCAGAATCCATGGATGCGTTTGCACAATGTTAGTGTGCATAAAATAAATGGAGGCTAACAAGCCGAAATGGGCAACGAGGATTGTTGGCATAACACAAAGACTTCTGTCAGAGACCAGAAAAAGAAGTCAATATACCAGAGAACAGAACAATCAGATAACAAGCTTAGATTAGCACAAGCCAAAGTTAAGATACCAAAGAGCTGGATAATAGAAAGATCTATCAGGGTCACAGTAAACACTATAAGACAAAATAGTGACACTTTAGCATAATTGGTGCTTGCCTCATCAGGACATTAATAGGTTTGCCAGTACAGCTACTCGCATCACAAAGGCTTACAGAACAGATCAATCAAACCATTGAAGTTCGTTACACATGTAGTTACATAAAAATATACAGAAAGTGGGATACAGCTGGATATCTAAAACAAAAAATAACAAATAATAGTGCAACACTGTTGGAGGAGGTTTGCAGTGCCCCCACTTTATATGGAACTCACAGACTCTAGATGAAAAGAACGCATTAAGGTTGCCTTCCCCCCAGTGGAGGTCTGGTTTCTCAGTCAGAATGGTGCTTTTGGATCCAAATCAGGAATCAGGTATGTAGGTAAAAAACGATTTATTACAAATAAATTGAATAAAATAAATATTTTAAAATTGGTGTTATATAACCGGTCCTACACGTTTCTATGGAAACTTCCTCAGGGACCACCTTTTATACAATCATAAAAACATAAAAAATATGTCTAACAATTTCATGTCCTTGGGGAAATGTAATTCACAAGTATCTCTTTTTGTTGCTGCTATTGTATCAATAAAGATTTATTTTTTAATGGATATATGAGACCGCATCATAACCAAGCATATGGGTATTTTCTCCCTGATTCATACCAATTATCTCCAGGCCAGTTATTTAGGTATATTATGTTGTGAATAACTCATGCGTGTTCAGTACTCATATCAGCATTGAGTGTTCCCATATTTGGGGACTACTCTCCTTTATCTGTGTTTTTTGTATATGTATCAGAGCATAACACTGCCTCTGCTGACCTGCCTTCATCCCATAGTGCAGGCTGCTGCGATCTGGTTAATGAATCAGGTTAATGAAGCACACACGCACCTGGACATCCACCTGATCTAAAAGAAAACATGATTCATCAGACCCAGCAAATTCTTCCATTGTTCCATGGTCCAGTTCTTATGCTCACATCCCTAATGAAAGAGCTTTTGGTGGTGGAAGGGACATACACAGCAAACTGTGATGCACTGTGTTATGACACCTTTCTATCATGGTCAGCATCATGTTATTTTTAGCAATTTGAGCAACAGGAGCTCTTCTGTATGATCGGAGAAGGCTAGCCTTCACTCCCCACATGCATCAATGAGCCTTGAGCATCCATGACACTGGCATAGGTGCACTGGTTTTCCTTCCTTGCACCACTTTTGGTATGTACTAAGCACTGGATACCAGGAACACCCCACATGACTTAGCATTTTTGATATGCTCTAAACCTATTCGTCTAGCCATTACTGTTTGGCCCTTGTCAAAGTCACTCAGATCTTTTCTCTTGACCATTTTACCTAGTTCCAACACATGAAATTTAAGAACTGAATGTTCACTTGCTGCCTAATATATCCCACCCCTTAACAGGTGCCTGTGTAACAATATAATCAATATTATTCACTTCACCTGTCAGTGGTTTTAACCCCTTAAGACCGGAGGGCGTACTATTACGTCCTCTAATAGGCGGCTCTAAACGCCGCCGGGCGTAATAGTACGCCCTCCGGTCTTTCTGTACTTACCCGGTCGCCGGCGGTCCCACGCCGGCGATCGCGGTGGGGGGGACTCCCAGGGAGCCCCCCGCGGCACGACCGTCCTCCAGGAAGCCCCCCGGCCGTGTGAGAGTGGGGTCCTAGCGAGGACCCCACAATCACATGGCCGGGGATAGCTGGCTTCTGTATTGCCAGCAGGGGGGCTGCCTGTAATGACAGGTGGTCCCCCTGCTGGCTGAAAATAAAAATGAAATAAATAAATAGTGTAAAAAAATAAATAATATTTACTTAGATCATATATATATATTATATATATATGATCAAAGTATATATACACACATATACATACACACATGTACACCGTCTAGGTGTATTTTACTATTAATATATATATAATTATATATATATATTAATATCAAATTACACGTACACTGATACTGATTAAATATATATATAATTATTGTTATATATATATTTATATATATTATAAAAAAATTAAAATGTAAATACGTTAAAAAATAAAATTACAAAAATAATTAAAAATAAATAATTAAAAAATATATAGATGTGTTATTTCGTTCTAACTGTATTGTGAAATTAATATATATATATATATATCAAAATACACATAGAACGAAATAATATATATATTTATACACATAAATATATACATATATATCACTATATATATATACCTATATATAAATAAAAATATTTTAAAAAAATTATATAGATATATACATATATATACACATACGTATATATATACATATATTGATTCTACATATATATTTATGTAATATTTTACATAATTAGGTATCTTAATTAATTACAATTAGCAGGACCTGCATGACAACCCATGCCGAAAGTAAAGGGAATTTAATTTGCTAGCACTATATTTAACCCTATAACCTTCCGAGACACCATAAAACCTGTACATGGGGGGTACTGTTCTACTCGGGAGACTTCGCTGAACACAAATATTAGTGTTTCAAAACAGTAAAATGTATTACAACGATGATATCGCTAGTAAAAGTGACGTTTTTTGCATTTTTCACGCACAAACAGCATTAAACGGACAATATTATTGCTATGATACTTTTTACTGTTTTGAAACACAAATATTTGTGTTCAGTGAAGTCTCCCGAGTACAACAGTACCCCTCATGTACAGGTTTTATGGTGTTTCCAAAAGTTACAGCGTCAAATATAAGGCTTGCGTTTCATTTTTTTCACATTAAAATTCGCCAGATTGGTTACGTTGCCTTTGAGACCCTATGGTAGCTCAAGAATGAAAATTACCCCTATGATGGCATACCATTTGCAATAGTAGACAACCCAAGGTATTGCAAACAGGGTATGTCCAGTCTTTTTTAGTAGCCACTTAGTCACAAACACCGGCCAAAATTGGCGTTTTTTGCATTTTTCACACACAAACAAATACTAACGCTAACTTTGGCCAGTGTTTGTGACCAAATGGCTACTAAAAAAGACTGGACATTACCCATTTGCAATACCTTGGGTTGTCTACTATTGCAAATGGTATGCCATTGTGGGTGTAAATTTCATTCCTGGGCTACTATAAAGTCCCAAAGGCAATGTAACCAATCTGGCGAATTTCAATTTCAAATGTAACGTACTATATTTGACCCTGTAACTTCCCAAAACGCCATAAAACCTGTACATAGGGGGTACTGTTTTACACGTGAAACTTTGCTGAATACAAATATGTGTATTTTATTGCAGTAAAAGCAAACAGTATTATGACACTGACCGTTTAATTGCCATGTAGAACTAAAAAAATCCAATAAAATCGTATTTTCTCCCATTTTTTTCATATTAAATTATGTTTCATAGCTAAATATTTGATATTAAATGAAAGCCCTATTTCCCCTGAATAAAATGATATATAATAAGGGTGGGTGCATTTACTATGAAAGAGGTGTATTACGGTTGGACAGACATGTAGCGCAAATGCCAGGTTTTGTTTACATTTTGTTTTGTTCACAACGTGTACATTTGGCTCCGTCCTTAAGGGGTTAATGTAGAGGCTGATCAGTGTATGTGGTACCTGAGCTCTACTTGCCTTCCCAATGATATCATCCATCTTCTCCACTGAGCCATCGAAGTGTTTGTACAGCACAAGCACCAGCCTACTCAAATTGTTTAATTTAGTGTCCCCTACGTGAAGGAGTCATTCTGTGATCAGACAACTACACAGCACTGTTCCCCCAGAGATAGGTGAGGAACTAAACTGTGCATGCATGCATTTCCTTAGCCATCTATAAAATGATTTTAATCAGTGCTGCATGCGTGCAGGCGTGTGTGTCTGTATATAGATATAATTTAACCATAGGCAATATTTGGCATGTATTACCCATTTGTTATTATAACCTCCACAGCCTCTGCACATGAAGTTTGCCTGTTTTTTTTTTTTTTGTGTTGTTTTTTGGGGGTGTGTGTGGAGGAGTAAGTGGGCCTTTTGGCAGATTTTGTGGTATCTTACTTCCCATTCACAGTATTTTTCACTGGCACCCATCGTTTGCTATTGTAACATTTGTCAATGAAGACTCACTATTAATTCACTTATACTCTGGCTATACAGAGTATACCTGCTAGGTATGTTTCCTGTCTGGAATTTCTGTTGTTTGCTTCCGTCACTGAAGTTAAATCTGTGTCCCAGTATTATTGACTGGAACTCTGTGCATACACATACTTTTTCTTGAATCATTAATTTTCTCTAAATCATAATTACTGATGCAGCTGCAAAGTGCATTTTTGGTTGATCTATATGAATTTACAAAATGACTTAAGGAAACTGAATTCCAAAGAGGCAAATTTTTGGTGAAATACAGTAATTAGAGGTGCAAAAGTCACACAAAATTCTGAATTATTTAATATAGCCTTATGGAACAGTCTCAAAATGACAGCCCTTTCCACACAAACTCTATCAGCATGGGGGAACAGTGTCACATGTTGGCCACAGAAGGTGACTGACTTCTTTGCATTATATGATTTGATGCAGGTTGGAGGGTGTGTAAAAGCGGATAGCACTCTTAGGCACTAAGAAACCAGTGTTCACTGGAAAAAGTGATAGGTAACAGAGGGCTTAGAACTATAACTTATGTAATAAAAATGTTATGATGTTTTTCCTTTTCCATAGTCCTAGGAGATGGCACCCAGTGTGTTTTTATCTTTGTGTTGTGTAAGCTGGAGAGTTTGACTATAGATGAATATTTTGTCAAACAATGGATGCAATTATTTAGCTTATTTACATGAAAAGGGTTTGTGTTTTGAAAACAGCGTGATTAAGTGGATCAAATGTTCTTAGGTAAGCTAATTTCCCTCTTTGTTTCTAAGCCAGCATAAAAGTATATATAGTAGCAATAGCAAACAAACATTAACCCCCAATATCTGGAGGGGGGCAGGATGTTGTGTAAATCTTGCCGTCCTATTGAATTTAACCAGATAGTGGCACAACACTTCTTTGCAAGTGTCTCAAACAATTAGTGTTTGGACAAAACAGTCAGAAGTGGTATATTTGTCATGTTTTTGGCCTAACCTTGATTAATATCCTGGTACATAAGTGCTTGTTACTGCTAACTCTTTGTCTGCATGCTATCTGTGTATATCCGCAGGCTGTCTTTTTCAATAATCCTTACATCTGCTCTCATTCCGAGCTTAGGCCTGAACCCACTGAGCTTCTGAGATGTTTTTCATCAGCAACCATAAATATTGGCCAATTTGGATAAATTGCAGCAGACACTACTACCCCTACAGTAATACTCTTAATTTAGGAGATGGCTTCAGGCACAAGTGTGCCTTTGCTTGAAACATAAGCATGACTGAAAGCAGGGCGTTAAAAGGCTAGGTCCTGCTGTGTTGATGACAACCCCTTAAATAAATACCAAGTATTGTAAACATTATTATCCTACTTAGGTAATCCTATACTGATAATTAGGACAGTAATGCAGACACTTCTCTGGAGGAGTCACTGGCTGAGAGTTGTAACAGCTAAGAATCAAACATTTTAATCCATATACTGTAGATGCAGTGCATTCAATGATTTTGTGAAAGCCAATTATAATACTGATATTTCTTGTCTAGTAAGACTTGTTCTTTTGACAGAGAGGTAATAATGGTAAAGTTTAAGACCAACCAAACACTTATTAAATAAGGAGGGAAAAAATGATAATTTGTAGGTTGCTAACATTTTTCAGAAAATTGAGAGAGAGTAACCCAAAGACCAAGTTAAAAGTTAAAGTAGGAACCATACCATTGTTTAGAGTCAAACCATTTTTGGAACTTATCTGGGCTTCTGCAGTCCATCATTCTTCACAAATATCGTTAACAGAATTCCACTTCCCTTTATCAATATCGATTTTGTCCACCTTTGTACGGAATTTATTGGCTGAGGAGTGTCCACTAACTTTCTGAGACAATGATTTCCATTCAAAGACAAAAGGAACTGATATTGCTAAGGGAGGGAAACTTCTGCTTTAGAGTAGTATGTGGAGAGGCCGACAGGGCCCCAATTAAGTGCCCATCCATTTGAAAACCGTGAGACAGTGCAAGGGGATTCATGGTACGCTGCAGCACCTCCTTGAAAGGCTACTCCACCGGAATAACAATTTATCTTAATGAACTCATTATGGGTGCTGGAGTCCAGCCTGAGTGTTCCTTTAATGCCAAAAGTGTTCACCTCCCTTCATGCAAATAGAAATGGAGAAAACAAGCAATACATAGTTTAGAAATGCCTAAATCCATATTAAACTAACAATCTAGGCAGCATTACAAATAAAGTGCATTTCGCAGGTTTTGGCCTAAAATTAATGATGCATTTTAAATCTCTTTAGCTTAGCCAAACCTACCTTTTTCACAAATCATTTTCCTTATGGAACGTATGCAGTGTAGCTCAGCCAGTGAGAAAAGTGTGAACTGAGCTGAAGACTTGACTCTGACTGTCTGTTTATTATATGTATGGTATTTCAAAACCATGATAAATGGTATAGAGGCAGATAATAAGAGGACAGTGATTGCCTATCTGCCACTGATCTCAAGTGGCACAGCCAAGTACATACTGTTAGTTCATGGTACGTCCATTTTTAGTCCTAGATTTCTACTTGAAATTGAGACGCATGGATAAGGGGACAGGATTTTGTACAGAAAGCTGCAAAACTACACTTACTTTAAACTGCAAGTATGTCTTGTAAAATTTAGGTTCTTATAGCAGAGGATATCAGTGTCCCCTTTTATAAAATTTGGTGTGTTTGCTTTTTCTTTCATGTTGAGTGCTATGTAGCATCTGTCAGTCAGCAGAAAGGGGAGTTACCGGACACCTAAAAAGGTCACTTAATAAGCTTTATAGGAATATTAGTTAAATGGCATATTAAAAATATTAAACGTAACATAGCAAAATAAAAGAGTTACCTCCTGTTTTACAGCCAACAGTAGTATCATGTGTTAATCATAAGTGTGTGTAATAGTGTGTGAGTCCCCCAGTTTTATTATATTAAAAATAAATAATAGACCAGGGCTCAAATTTTGAAGTCCTATGCTACTAAACAGGCCTAAAAGGTTCTAAACAATATAAGTTATAACACTCTAACATATAGTGTGCAGAATCCAGGAGCTGGCTAGTGGCTAATGGCTATAGTACCGTGTATAAAAAATCCTTAAAATTGTATAACAGTATAATTAAAAAGTCGAATAAAAATCGTAACAGACTTGTCAGACTTGTCTTCTGACTCACATAAGTCTGGTAATGCACCTATGAACTATCTCTGATCTGTATTTTTGCATTTTTAACCATCTATATATATTTTTTAAATTGTTAAATAAACTGGCATTTTTTCGATAACCATATCCAGTTTTTATTGCTTCAGTCTATAGCGATAAATTTTTATATCGCCAAAACTAACAGTTCCATATACTGTGTTGCTTAACATATAGATATTTTTTATCTTTGATACTACAAAGTATACTATTTGGAGCAGGCATTATCTACCCTATACTATACTGGGGATAGGATCACCTGCTCTGGACATATTGGCTACATACCGATTTAGCAGTTCAATCTATTTTTTCTCATTGTATTTCATTTTACTAGTATTAGTATTTTCCATTTCATTATTAATTTTAAACTCTCCTTTTTCCGTTTGGTTTTTAACCTTCTCCTTTATCTATTTATCCTTTTCTTTTTTATCTTTTACCTTATTTTATCCACTTCTCTTTTCTATCTGTATTTTAAACAATATAAGCCTGGAGGGTCCGTGGGACATTAGGGTGACTAGCCAGGGCTGAATTTTCACTTGCCAATGGATAACACTAGCAGGAATTCAACTAAATGTGATATTTATAAGCTGCTAATGAGGGTAAAATTTAAAACGTAGGTTTACCTTGTGCATTTTTATCTCATTGAAGTGTGTCTTGGTCAGAAAAGACTTGGAACCATTGCCTTAATGCATGATGCCATTCTGCACTGTGAAATAGTACAGTACTTAGTACAAAGTTGTATAGCATTGATCCAATTGAGCATCAGTCAGACAGCACAGTTGAGTAGGCATCATAGTTATTTGTCTAAATCATCAATCACTCTAACATGGTAACATCTTGTGTTTTGTTGAGCAGCTTACTTGATCTAAAATTTGACCAGTTTATTCGAGTTGGAAGTGTTCGTAAGATTGCAAAGCCAGTTTTACCTTACAGGTAAGCATCCATAGATACGAACTCTGCGCTTGCAAAAAAGATAATGAAACCAAATCTTATACTGTTGTATGTGTTTTGTTTTGTAAAGCTAGATATGGCAAATGCACATCAGTAATACAACATGCTATTGTACACTGCATTGGTAGTTTTAATTTGTGGAAATGAAGGCAATGCAATTGTATTACTCAGTGGCAGACAGACCCCTCCCCCTCCTCTTTCAACAGTATGTGGCTCCACCAGAGCTGTTGAGGAGAGACAAAGAGACTTTCGTTCTGTGTCTCATGCCAAACTTGGACAACATTGATACACAAAGTACAAAATATAGAATTACAGCTGCCTGACTGCTCTCGGGTGCCTTATAGCTGCAGCATTATTTACAACATTGAGAGTAGGTGCAAAGTTCTTATGTTGAAGATCATGCTATGGATTGGGATCACTGAAAGAATAAAAAGTACATCAACTAATGTTTTATATATATATATATATTTATATTTATTTTTTGAGTGTTTCTTAAAGGGACACTGTAACTGCAGCATCTCATTGAAGTGGTTATTGTGTCTGGAGTTAAATCGTTTTTTATGTTTAAATGCTAAACAAGAGTTTCCAGCAGTCCATTCCCTCTTTGCTGCCTGAACATTAGCCTGAGTAGCAGAGGGCGGCTGTAAGTGGCTGAGAGTGTCAGCGGACAACTTTTAACATATCACAGCCCATTGTGCATTAAGGTCCTACTTTGCATGTGCAGTGATTGCCATGCTCGGTGAGTCAGAAGCTGAATTGTGTTAGGAAATTGCAATATACCAATAGCGGCTTTACAGAGTATACCTGCTAGGCTTCACATTGAGTTTACACTTGTTAATGTGTATAATGATATGTGGAGTTTGTGTTTTTCTGTTTAGTAAACTGGGTATCAATGTTTCTGCTCTACAGATTTAGCGCTATAAAAAAAACAACATCCTTTTTAACAAAATCTTACTATGATGTGTGATTTGATTTTATAGCTTACATGCTGGCTCTGATAATGAAAGTGAACAGTTAAAGGAGCTTCAAGCTCTTCTAAAAGATGATTTAACCGCCATAGAAAAGGCATATGTCAGAAAAAGCATTGAACAACATAAACTAGGCACCAACAAAACACTGCTTGGACAGGTAAGTGATCTCTTAAAATGTGAACAATATTCCGTTCTTACTGCTTGGACTCAAAGTATTCTCTTATATGATGCCACAGAGACAAAAAAAATTTCACACTCATGTGACCTCCGTGTTCATACACACAAGTTACAAAATGAATGACAACTGATTTTACTTCCACGCCGTAGATTAAACTTTAGTAAAACAGTGGAGGATGATTTGTACTGTTGATATCAAAAACGTATTGCCTGAACCCAAATATAGTCTAAATTTCAAGCCACGCAGAAACCACCTGGATAGATTAAATTTGGGCTTAGGTTCTACCTTTAACATCCACAAAGAGGTTGAATGATAATAAATGTATTTACTGTTTTCATAAGGTACCCCAAAGTTTGAGAGTCCCTAAAAAATCACGTGGTTCATCTATTTGATTGAGTTCGGTAATATCTCTCTTTCTCTTCTTACTGTATTTAAGGTCCGTGTAGTGGGTGTGACATGTGCCGCATGCCCATTCAATTGTTTGAGCAATTTGAAATTTCCGATTGTCATACTTGATGAGTGTAGCCAGATGACAGAGCCAGCCTCCATGCTTCCAATCGCCAGGTAACATTTGTGTAGTTGTTTAAAGTTGTTACAATTCATTTTACTTAAATAATGTGTTTTTTTTTATTTTTAATATGTTACAATATTATTAAATTAAAAATAAGGAAAAACACTTTTTTTTCCCTCCTGAATCCCTTCTTGTGCACTGATATGCTTGGCATGTCAAGATATAAAAGGATTTTCCGAAGTAGCATGAGTAAGGAGCAAACTTAACATTTACTAATATACAAAAATATTGTACACCCTCTTTCATGATCTTTTGTCTCAAACACGCTAGTAAATGTAGTGCCTGGAAGGTCCTTCAATTGATTCACTATCAGAACACTAAGCACAACAAACTGCTTGAAAATGATATAATTATTGGTTTCCACACAATAGCACCCTCCACAGTTAGTGTATGTTATCGAATGCATACAGACAGCAGGCCTTAGCTATAAAGAGCAATTCTGGATCTAAGTGCTTAATGTGGAACAATCCACAGGAACATTCCTTGTGTTTCCATGGACATTCAGGAAGAGCATTCCATCGGTTTCCAAGGGCAATCAGCATGACTTTCCTGGGGATCTCTCCAGACTCTGTGTTTTCACCACTATTGTTCTTTGTACTCATGGCTAAAAGTATTCAGCAAACAAGTATTCAAAGGCAGAGTAGCAAATAAGTAAACACTGCTGGTAAGGGTGATTTTATTTTTATTTTTGTTGTGCTTCAGTTGAACAAACAAACTTGCTCTTCCCCAACAGCAATGGCAAGAGAATTGAAATACAAAGTGAAACAGTTTAGGGCACACAAGTATACAGCACGTTGTTTTTTATTTTTTGGTGGTAGAAATTTTTGCATGCATAATGATACAGTCAGGCTGAGATTAACATTTGAACAGGTGCTTTCAGGAAGGGACTTATGTAGTTAAGATAAGAATTTGTCAGATTGGAGACACTGCGCTATTCACATTCTGTAACCTGTTTAGCACGTAGGGAGCAGCTTGCTGCAGTACAATGGCAACGTGGGTAAGTAAGAAGCCTAATGTGCAGTTAACATCCCTATTACTTGGAGGGTAAGAGGGTAGTAATTAGCTATGGCTGCAGTGACATCTATCCCACCTGTCGTATGCTATAGTTACATGAATAACTAGTAGAACTTGCTGAACTCCGCAAAGACGATAACTGAAAATAACCTCCGAGGCCACATTTCTAGCATAACAGCTGCATTGCCCGTGTTTGAACTAGAAGCCTAGCTAAATCATAAGTACAGTTTAGTCGTTGTTGAAAATATAGAGTAAAAGACACAAAAGAAAACAAATACATGAAGCCATATTAGCAGACATTTCAACGTTGGGATACAGGTGGCCCTGTCCAGAGAGTCCAGCGTCAGCCTATTCCCCGCATGTCATGGGAGCAGTCAGTGGGCAGGAGTCGAGCGTGGGAGCCCTCCAGCTCCGGGCTATGTGGAAGACCGGCATTACAAGGCCACAGACCCAGGTTCTCAGACACGCGGCTAGGTCTTTCCCAAACGAGGGATGGCTGAAGCTCCCGATGGTGCGTCGCCGCCAACGGCGGTGGTTCTTCAGCCTCCCTGGCAAATGCAGGGGTATGGTATCCCCAGAAGTCTTTCGCCCAGGCGGGCCTAAATGAGCAGTGCCATGCGCTGGACGAGGGGTTGCGCTCAGAGGGGATCCTCTCACCTCCGCTAATCTCTGCTGTGCTTCACCGCCTGATTCTGGTGCGGTGTCTCCATACCACGGGCCTCCAATTTTGCCCAGAAGCTTTTGAAGAGCATAACGTGATGGAGTAGATGTTCAAATGGGTCTTGTGGAGTCCTCACTGTTTGTGCTTTGCTATTCACATTCAGTACTTGAAGCGTGGCAGCAGTATGACCCCCACCGGTCCAAAGGGAGGGGGGGAGAGGGTGGGACAGCTTGGGTCAGGGTTCACTCCACCGGGTGAGGCGCTCGGAGAGTGGCCGTCTCTCCTCTGCCCACACTTGTGGAGGCCACAAGCCGCAATGTCTGCGTTCTGGTGGTTTGAGTGCCTGGATTTAGTATCCCTGGATGCACAGTTGTCTCCTTGACTGGGTGCTTACCGGCAACAGTCCATATTAGCCAGCGGCTCGAGATTATTGTCACTTAATTGTCCCGGTTTGTGGAGCTCATGCGGTGCACGTCTGATCCGCTTGGCAACCAAGGTCAGCCGCTGATTCTCTTTTTTTTTTTTTTTTTTTATGTTTGCTAGGATTTTCAAAATAACAACACAACACAATCCCAAGTAAAAAAAAATGGAAGCAGGAAAGGCATAGTTAATAATATACAGTATTAAAAGACAGAACACATTGTGTAAAATGCAGACATCCCAGGCTGGATCTACTGAGTTCTGAGTGGAGCAAGGCTATCTGAGATAGCAATCCACAAAAACACAGGACTTAGTTTTTATTGTATATTTGAGATCCAGTTTAGAAAGTTAACTATTAATGTACACAGAACATAAACAGACATATATTTACCCAGGTATTACACTAAAATTATCAATATAATAACAATTGTACTTAAATTAAAACTTGGAAAGAAGATATGATGGAACCATACATAATATATCTTTCCAGTTATTCCAGTAAAATAATAAGAAGAAAACTTGTACCCAAATTGAGCCTGAGGAAGAAGATACCATGGTAAAAAATAAGGAATTCTGTGCTGAAACAATATTATCATACACACACCTCTAGTTTTGACCCTGCAAGTCCCAGGGGAAACTCAGTCCACATGTAAATATGGAAGCACTGTGTCACGTTCACCATTTCTACATGATTTGCCCTGTGCAGATTTCAGTGTGAAAAGCTGATCCTTGTTGGGGACCCGAAGCAACTCTCACCAACTATCCAGGGCTCTGAGGCAGCGCATGACTGTGGGTTGGAACAAACAATATTTGATCGACTATGCAAGATGGTATGTTAAATGACTATCTATTACTGCACTGTATATGTCTTTTCTGTATTATTTTATGTCAAAAGAGAAGCTTTACATGTATGATGCTATGTTTTTGTCAGGAAACAAGAAATCAATATCTGTTTTTTTTTTGTGTGTGATTTTTCAGAATCTAAAAATATTAAAAGCAGTTCCATAGACAAAAGATTCAATGTTCTCTCAACTCCGAATAATTGGTACTAGCAGTAAATCTAGTAAAACCGTTAAAGAGGAACTGTCACAAACAAACGATTTTTTTGCATAAAAACTGGAGGCCAACTAAGAATTAGCTAGGTGTTGTACTCTTTAAAAAAGAAAAATTGCATTACTACTAATTTTCTAATAAATTACATTGCAAATATATCTTTTCTGACACAGCCAGAGTGTGTCATGTAAATTAGTTTGAACCCTGCTGGCATAGCACTATTGAAAGAATGCCTGAGCATGCATCTGCATGTGCAAAAGTGTTTAAGTACGGAGGGAAGGGTGAGAAACTGTCATCAGTTTAGCACTCACAGGGATCTTTTCACTAAACACCGAACTGCAGCTGAATGCTGTTCAGCTGTCACAGCTCAGCTGTTTTAACCCATATGACTAATCACAAATGGCAGATTTGGTTATTTTAACTGAATTTGCACTTACAATTGGCTGCAGTTCGACTGTCAGTTGAAATCTGATGAATCTCCATATAACATGAGTGATATGGCTATTCACAAACTGATTAAATGCATCTGAATCGACTTTTTTACTTGTTCTGAATTCCTTGGTATGATCCAGGGGATAACCCTTAAAACTCCAATTCCCTAATAATATGTTAACCTAATATGCCCCAGCTCCCTTGACACTCCAACCTTAAATCCCCTGCAAACCTGACTCTGTCCAATATTTTGAATAAAGTCCCAATATCTTGTAGCTTAAGGGAGGGGGAGGTCCCCATTGTAAGCCACTGCCTCTAATGTACCGATGGTGGATCAAGGTGGATTCAATCATTAAAACCGATTTTGCAGTCAAAGACATATAGAATGTGGCTGGTGCTGCGCTTTTGTTGGTCCAAGGTAGCCATCTGCTCTGTAGAAAAATAGTCATCTCGGTAAAACCAGCTGAATTTCTTATCATTTGTTTATATGAAAACAATACTACCCTGTTTTGTTTTAAAAAGAAAATAAGTCGGTTGATAAACCAATCTAGAACCTACATATATAAAGTTTGTTTCAGACATGTTACAGTATCATACATCAAACAGAACTTTGAGTTAGTGTCTTTCTCCACTTCTAGGGTCATAAGGCTATTCTGTTAAAGACTCAATATCGATGTCACCCAGCTATTAGTTCTGTAGCAAATGAACTGTTTTATGAAGGTCGTCTCCTCAATGGGCTATCAGAAGAAGACAGAAAACCTCTTCTAGACTGGTTACCCACATTGTGTTTTTACAATGCTAATGGAAACGAGATGGTAAGTTGGCACACAAACTCTGAAACACTTTAGAAGCAACACATTATGTATTTGCAGGTTTGATTATTAAGCTGTATAATTATATTGCTGCAAAAGTCAAATTCTTCTTTCAAAGGTAATTTTTCTTCTTGTAAAATAATTGTTTTATCCGCACACATATATTTACCACAGAGCTTCACAGTTTTAATACTGGCAGCAATGGTTTGGAACCATTAAAATGTGTTTATAATTTAGTTTATTTAAATAAAATATATGACTTATTTATACAAATAGACAATGAATGGCTGTGAAGCAATGATCCCGAGGATAGTCACATCATTTGGTCACGCAGCAGATGCAACCCTTAATACAAGAGTGTTCCTTTTTGACAGCTTGCAATTTTACGGGATATACAATCATCTTTACTGAGTAGATTTTTCATGTTTCCATTGAATTGTATTTTGCCAATGTAGACATGCAGAGTTTCTAATCCCTTCTGAACATTCTTTGATTGTTCATAACCATGATACTCTGAATATGTGGTCCATCTTAGAATCTGAAAATTAACCCCACCAGTAAAATCAAAACTTGCAAGTTATTTGGAGAACATAGTGGTTTCATAAAATGAGAAAACGCTCTGCTTTAGTCTACATTTACATTATTTCAAAGTACCCAAAGCAGAATTGATAAACCCTTGCTTGTTATGCCTTTTCTGTAACGACAGTGACCACAACACACAGAGTGTAATCTAGAAAGAAGCGTATTATCGGGGGTCAGGGGGTTGCGGAAAGCAGATACACGAGAAAAACAAGCCGAAGTCAGGATACCAGAGAGTAGAATAGTCAGGAGGCGTAAGCCAGAAGTCAAAAACCAGAAAATACAATACAGAATCTTAATAGCACTAGAGGGAACCAAAACAGAACCACAATAGGGCGGTGAACAAGTGAAAAAGGCCCTTTTAGAGTGTATTGCCTATAGCTTTAAATCCACGCCCCCAAAAGGTTAGGGGGCGTGGCAACGTTTGAATTTGCGCAGTATTTCTGATCTGACGTCGGCGGGCATGTGCCGCGTCATAACAAGGGGCGTGTTTGGAGCGGCCGACGTCAGGCTGTGCCGCCTCCCAGAAGTGTGGGAAGAAGACGCCGTGCTGCGCGGCTCCAGAGGAGAAAGGTAAGGTATCATTACATTTTCATGGCTTCATTTCTTTTTTCAAACATTTGTGCCAATAATTTTTTTAATATTTTTGTTGGTACAAGTGCTGTGTAGTTAAAAACCATTTTGTTTTAATTCTTCTGTAAAATTATTATGAGCTGTACATATTTAAATGTCCTTTAGGCTCCCTTTTGTTATTGTAAAATTCAAGCTTGAAAACGTGATATTTTTCCCTGTACAATTTCTATATATAGGTGGAGGGAAGCAACAGTTTTCATAATGTAGAAGAAGCCAATTTTACAGTGAAGCTTATCCAGTCTCTGCTTGCTAGTGGGATTCAGGGCACTATGATTGGTGTTATAACACTCTACAAAGCACAAATGTACAAGGTAGGTTTTTGGGCTGCTGCTAATTTTAGGGATTAAAATATGAAGCAGACATTACTCTCTTGTAATATTAGTGTAGAGTTCCATTTCTTTCAATTAAAAATGAAAACAAAATTTAAACTATATAATTTTACTACATTGATTAGAAAAAAACACCAGCAATTAACAAAACAAACAAACAAAAAATAACTACACTTATCTCTCCTAACAACATTTTAGACTTCTGTATGCCTTTACATGTGACAGTATGTTATTTTAGTACATGGACTTGTCTATGAAGTGCTGCGTGCATACAATATGTTGGACTTTTGTTATTTTGTGTTGTCTTAAACGTGAGTACCATTTCTCCAACCCTCAAAGTGACACTCCACTGCTTAAATGCAAACTAGATAGAAATCACTGTTTAGTAGATATTTCCCAAATGAAAACTTGCATGCATTCAATTATATATTTTTTCATTGAGATGATATGTAAAAAAATAGATTACAAATCCTTTAGTTGTTTTGGCTGTTGCCTTTGCAAATTCTTCCCTTCTAAACCTGCCCAGACTTTCTGTGGCTGTCCAATCACAGACTTCCCAATGCAGCTCAATGAGAGGTCTTTGCTCTGGGCAATTGCTGCCTTTTGAGTTTAGCTTCACTGAGCTAACCAAACCAGGAAATAGCAGGACCTGTTGTCTGCCTGAAAACCAAGAGGTTGTAACCAGAATAATTTTTGCAAAAAAAAAAAAAGATACATTCCTCACACAAAGCTTTTCAGCAAGCTAAAGTGCTTAAGAAGTGTGACGTGTCCCCTTAAAATGATGAATGAGCATGTAAGCATTTTCTGTTTATCCACATAAACATCTTGTTATTTACAAGTGTATTTTTTGCATCTATATCCAGGTATGCACTTTACTCAGTACTGCTGCCCTATGCGATCCCATGGAGGTTAAAGCAGTTCAGGTATCAACTGTAGATGCTTTCCAAGGAGCGGAGAAAGAAGTAATCATCTTGTCCTGCGTTCGGTCAAAACAAGTTGGGTTCATAGATTCAGAAAAAAGGATGAATGTTGCACTCACTAGAGGGAAGAGGCATTTGTTGATTGTGGGCAACCTTGCCTGCTTGAGGAAGAATACTTTGTGGGAGCATGTAATTCACCATTGTGAAAGTAAGTCGAAACATGCATACATCAAATTTAGAAAGCTAGCATTAGTATTCTCAGTACCAATCGTGTCTAGGTTTTGATCAACAGCAGTTATTACATACCACCATAAGCACCCAGACCTCTTCAAATGGTCTGGGTGCAAGGGCCATGTTGGTTTCCTTCTTGCAATATAAAACATTGCTGTTTGTAGCTATGGCAATGTTTACAGTTCAAGTATGTCATCCTGACAGCCACTAGAGGGTGCTTCTGCTCCTACAACCAAATCAAACTCCATTCTGTGATGTTTGAAATCCTCACGCATTGCAATGAAAGTCCTCTAATGCTGGTCATAGGGAAGCATTGTATTCAATGCTTCGCAATGAAATGGATGAGTGTGGCGCTTGTCAGGCACGCGCTTCTCATCTAAAGAGGAGACAGAATGGGCAGCTACACAAAATTAGTCTCTGCACTGGAAAAGGGTAAGTAAAATTTGTTTTTGTTTTTTGTTAAATTCAGAGGAGCCCTGAATCTAAATAGTGAGTAGAACACTATAGATTTAGGAATGCATTTTTTGTATTCTTAATGCTAAAGTGATTCTTAAGGAACTATGTAACTATGATGGGCATTTTAGCATTTTGCCCTACACTACCATAAGATACCATTAACATTAAAGTTTACTGCTAATGTGATGGAAACTGGGCTGTTTATGGCCTAAGCCATGTGCCCCACAATTGATTGTTCTTGAGGGGGAAAAATGACTAAGCTTACTTAGATCCTTAGTAAAAGGGGAGTGCTGAAGTAGTTGCCCTCCATTGCAAAACTAAATAATACACCTACCTAGATTACCAGATTGAAAATGTTGTACGAGAGCGGAAGGTTATCATACTTGGTATGGGCTCACCCCTTTTCCAACCTACGTATGATGTGGCAGAGGGTAACGTGTATTAGGCTGGCTGCTTAGACAAGGGCATGCCTATTTCTTATATGGATAGGCCAGAAATTTCCCTAGACCCTGAAAGACTTGCCAAGTGACATCAGCATGTGTGGGTGCTGCAAACTGTGCAGCAGTGACCCAGGACTCTGTAGTGGGTCTGAGTGAGTGTCTCTAGAGGTGTTACTAAGCAGCTGAAAAGGTAGTGTTTACATTGAAAAGCCTGCAGGGACTGGCTATGGACACCAGAACAATTACATTAAGCTGTAGTGCTTCTGGTGACTCTAGTGTTCCTTGAAGAATGGCATTTTTCTTATTAAAAATTAAACTGTGTTAGTTTAAAAAAAACAAAAAAAAACTGGCTCCCAGATTCCAAACAAATTTGTTAAGCCCTGGCTTACAGTAAAATAACTCAATCGTATCATCTTCACTTTTATTTAAATATCTTCAACACATAACTAGATTTTAAACAGTGCTATTTTTTACCTCAGGGCAAAAGGATGGTTTGACACATGTAAGCCAGTGGGAGGAAAAGCTAAATGGCATACTTACCTGTTACCAAGACAAGAAACTAGAGGAGGACACACATGTCCTAAAGAAGAAATCCAAACCAAAAGATGGGACGGCTACTCTTAAAAAGACATAAAGGTTGGTGCACTAATACAGGCTGATTTAATTTAAAGGAGCACTATGTGGTCAGGAACACAAACACACAAATCTAATAAGCTGTAGTTGTTCTGGTGACTATAGTGTCCCTTTAAAAAAAAAAGTCTCATCTTGATACACAATTAAGTAGTCCAATACGCTCATAAAAATATACATTCATTATTAGAATATAAAAACCATCAATTGAATTAAAATGTGTTGATAGTCCATTAGGTCTTTTGGGCTTATAATTCATATACCCTTTTTATGTAGCAACTCTAGTTATATACATCCTTCAATCTACACTATGCTCTTCTTTAGTGCTTAGCATATGATGCTTACTTATCATTATGGAATTGATAACCACAGATTGTGAGTGTGATGGTAATAACACTAAGCAGTTTTTTCACTGTTTTTTACAATTCGGTCATTTTGGCCCAAAGTTACCTAATCAATATCCCCACAATGCCTGATTTAGTGAATAACCACACAATACATCTAAATTTAAGGGGAAAAAACATATTTGTGTTCAAGTTTTGGGGGGGGGGGGAATAAAGAATAGGTATGCTTTCCTTTCAGTATTACCGCCTTGGCTTAAATCATGGTCGGTCTTAGGTGTGTGCAGCCAGTGATATTTTACAGGGTGCACACTAATAAGGATTAAGTGAATATGCTGTGCAATTTTGGGCACCTGTTCTAAAGAAGGGTATTATGGCACTAGAAAAAGGAATGGATGGAACATTTTAGTTCTGAAGAAAGCAGAAAGAAACAAATTTAAATCTCTTTAGTTTGGAAGAACGGTGCCTCAGAAGGGATATGATAGCATTATACAAATATATTCGTCCATAAACAGAATTATACATAGGACACAGGATTATACATAGGACACATTTAGACTGGAGAAAATGAGGTTTGGTTTAAGCCCAAGGTAATGGTTTTTGCAGTAAGAACAATAAGGATGTGGAATTCTCAGCCTGTAGAGGTAATTTTATCAGACAGATGTTTAAACAGAAATTGGATAAATACTTCTAAAAGCATAATATTCAGGGATATCATTTTTAATGAGTGGGGTAATAGACTCTCGGTCCAAGGATAAATCTGACTACCATTATAGGATCAAGAAGGAATTCTTTCCTAGTTTGTTTCAAACTGTTTTTGGTTTTTTTGCCTTCTTTGGATCAACAGCAAAAACATATGTGAAAAAGGCTGAACTTGATGGGCACATGTGTCTTTTCAGCTATGTAACTATGAGAATTCAAAGTGAATTCAAAATAAATTTCCAGTTTAAGGCCAGAGTAAACCAATAAATAAACTGAAGATCTGTGACACTCGAATGTAAATTGCCAAAAAATATATGTGCAAAAATGCCTATACATTAAAACATAAACTTGAGCAACATGCAAATATACCTATACAGGAACAATAAGGTATTTTATACCTACAAATTATATATATATATATATATATATATATATATATATATATATAAAAATAGTACAATACTGTAAATAATAAAAGACTTCCAAAAAACCCTCAGTAGGTGCAGCTCACAAAATCAGTGTGGCTAAGTGCCACTCAGACAGCCAAGCTCTAGGAGGATGTCTGAGTGTCACTTAGCCTACACATGGCTGTATAGGATTCGATGTGGGAAATCGACAAACCTTGCATCCTATGCGCCCGAAATGCTGATCTTCCTGGAGCTTGGCTATTTGTTCTATTTTCATTTTTTAAGTATAAAAAACTTTTTACATTGGCTGTATAGCTATACAGTAGGAAAAACACTGTGCATCATATTTTGTATATTTTAAGGCCAGAATAGCTGAGCTGAAATCATAGCTGACTTAGAGATGTATCTGAAAAGCCTTCCTCACATATGTTTTTGCTGTTGATCCAAAAGAAGGCAAAAAAAAAGGTCTGAGGCGCTTCCAGTTTTGCAACAAACTAGGAACAAATTCCTTCTTGACCCCAAAATAGCAGTCAGATGTCTCCTTGGATTAAGCAGCTATTACCCCACTAATTAGAAATTATATTCCTGTATGTTATGTTTTTGCAAGTATTTATCCAATTGCAGTTTAAACATCTGTATAGACTCTTTCCTTTGCCTTAGATTAAATCTCCTTTCTTCCAACCTAAATGTGTGACCTTGTGTCCTAAGTATAGCCCTGTTTATGAATAGATATCCAGATAATGGTTAATTACAGAAAGTTTGTTTAGTGGCTGTCTGAGTAGCAACAATGTAAAGTGTTTACACAAGGGTTGCCCAAAAGGTAGATCCCCAGATGTTTTAAAACTATGCTTCCCTGATGCTTTGTCATTCTATAGGCTTGCAAAGCAGCATGGGAGTTGTAGTTCTACAACATCTGGGGATATCTACTTTTGGGCACCTAGATTATACTCAGAGACGTACCCACCGGGTCCCAGTGCGGAAATTGCCCTGGGCCCCCTCCCATGTGTCCAATTTTCCTTGCCCCTCCAAGAGTCTCATTCCCTCCCCATAGTCTCTCCATTTCCCTCAAGCCCGTCACGTGCCTCATTACCTACCCAAAGCCCTCCATGTGCATCATTCCCTATCCCTCCAGCTCCTCCATGTGTCTCATTCCATCCCTCTCCAACTCCTCCATGTGTCTCATTCCCTCCCTCTCTAGCTCCTCCACGTGTCTCATTCCCTCCCCCCATGCCATGTGTCTCATTCCTTCCCTCTCCAGCTCCTCCATGTGTCTAATTCCCTCCCTCCGCCCCCCAGGCATCTCATTCCCTCTTCCTCCAGCCCTTCCATGTGTCTCATACCCTCCCTTCCCTCCAGGTGTCTCATTCCCTCCCAGCCCCTTTATCTGTCTCACTCCCTACCCGTCAGCCCCTCCATGTGTCTTTCTCATCGCCCATACCTGCCTCACTGTGGTATCAAGTCTGACAGGAAGTGCTCTTTCAATGAGCACTTCCTGTCAGAACAATTCGCTTGGTCACGCTACAGATAGCAGCAAGAGGTGAGCAGCACAGCACAGTGCTCCCCTCCTGCGTGTCAGCCGACATTTATGGACCACCGACCCTAGGGAATGCAGGCAGCCCATGGACGCAGGGGTCGCAGGTGCGGCCGGGCCCCCTGGAGTGAAGAGTCTGCTCGCAGCTGCAACCCCTGCGACCATCCAGTTACGCCACTGTTTACCCTACAGCGATAGGCTCTAGATACCAGAACTAATGCATTCAGGTGTATTGGTTCTGGTGCCTATAGTGTCCCTTTAAATTTGAAGTAAATTTTGAATTCTTTCTTTTGTGGGATGCCACGTCTTCCTGCTTCTGCATCTTAGTAGAAGTCGGAAACAAATCCACTTCCCATTCTTTGGCAGAGGGTATCAACGGACAACTCTCAGACTATGACTATGAATGCAATTCTCTTCATATGAACATGCAAACAGTTGACATTCACCAACCTGGACCTCTAGTTCCGGGCTGACTGATGACAACCCATGTCAGTGCCAGAGGTGGAGTTACACATCTGGCACCAGAGAGGTTAAACACCATATGTGCAGCAAAACACTACACATACAGACTCCAGGCCCCATGAACACATCAAATGTCTAAAGTGGTCATGATGCTTGGAGTAACCCTTTAAATTTAGAGCCATAACAAAGCTAATTGTTTTTCTTTCTTTAATTGCAGATGAAGCATCCATCTCTAATGGGTTGAAAGACCAAAAAAGTTTACACATTTTTTGTCTATGCACTGAGACTTCTCAAGAGAGAACCGCACAAAATTTTTAATGGAGCTGACATATTTGCTTTGTTGATCTTATGGTTACAATATTATATTACTGTTTTAGGGTGCTAAGTGAATCTGTGTACGGTAAACCTTTTTCAATGCTAGTGGACAATCATTTTGAGACCTCAAGGTAATTCCGATTTCTGTATCACTCAACATATGATAGTTAATGTAACTTGACAGATTGTTATTGCAGTCTAATAAGATTGCCTTGGGTGATGCTCACAAATGATGTCTTCCATAAATTATTTTATAATAGTAATGTACAAAAACATATTTTGAGCAATGTTGTGTGAAAGCTGTAATTAAATAGAAAAAAATCTAATTAAATAAATTCACGAATATTTCCACTAGATGGCACTAGTGTTTTTCTTCCATTCACTAGCCATTGTTTTCAGATTTGTGTAAATACATTGATAATATTGGCAACTTATATTAAAATTGTTCAAGTTATTGATTTCGATAAAAGTTCATATTAGGACCTAAATGTTGACTAAATAATTCTAATCTCTATTTGTTTTAATTAATTATGTTAACTGTTGCTTAACTTTTCCTATAACTGCAGAAGGAATGTGCATGTTTTTTTTCTTACATAAGCTTTTATAGAAATATATATGTATAAAACTGTTGGATTTCCTAGTGCTTTATTAATAAATTATATTACAATAAATACCGGTCTATAGCTACATATGAGGTTCATAGCAAGACCAATATTTACAATATATATGTATGTGTATATATATATATATATATATATATATAATATATATACACATACATACGATTTAACAACAATAAGCCTCATTATGCAATCCTTCTCTATTGTGTATTTTTAACTGGGACCACTTTTTACAATTAAAATTCAGTCAAGTTTGTAACATCCCCCGACAAGCAATAACCTTAGAAAGTAATTAAAAATTAAATCACATTGAATTGGCTCATTTGAATTACTACCGACACCTCTGGATAGTCCCTTAAAATCTTAATCAACAATCCATTAGAGCTCAACAGGAGTAAAACTAAATCCTCGTTTAAGTGTATTTATCCAATCTCTTTCTCTCTTTCAAATGCTAAATCCATTTTAGCATATGCCCCTTCTTTCTTTCACTGTTTTTCTAAAGCCCTGCAGCCTCTACTACCCTTGTAAATATGAAAGATGCTAATCATATGACATATCACGTCTCAGTCGGAGCCTGGAATAAAGCCCTGAGATTTGGGATCATCGCATCCAGACAACAGCTTCATCAGCCGGAAAGTTGTTGTTTTTTTCTCTTTCCCTTCAACTCTCAATCCCTCCTTTGTCTGGAGGAAAATGTAGGCAGTGCAAGCCACCCTGGCCATATGGTTCATTCTGTAATGTTGTTAGTTAGATTCAGTATGGTCTCTGTGACTTGTGAGACTGTGTGGAGATACAGAGTATCCTCGTTTGTTGTTCTTACAAACACATGTCTCTTTTTGCAATTGTTTCCAGTTTCCCATGCACAGAGATATTGATTGTCCAAGTCATCATTCTAAATAGGAGAATGAACACCTAAACATGAAAGGCAGTCCTGTATCTTTAAATCATCCTACCAGCATCTATCCTTTATTCACAGTAAACCTCACTAGCCGGATTCCAAGCTGTGCAGTAAAACACAGACCTTTAAATGCCCTGGGTCATCTTAAGGTTATTTTCATAATAATGCAATTGATAAATAGTATTTCACAGCTTATCAAATATCAGTCAATTAAAGATCGGTAAAAAAGTAAATCTTATTTTTTTTTGTTTTTTTTAACACATTAGTAATGTTGATCTATCAAATATCGTGTCCATTATAGCTTACACACAAAATATTTTTTTTCTTCTTTATTTTAATAATTAAATTGTCATATTAGTAAGCCAAATTATTAAGTTTAAGTTTAACTGCTTAAGAGACAATGAATTTTCATGCTGTCATTTCAAACCCATTGGTAGTGTGAAATGTCCCACTAATTTAGCATAAGTCAATGTACATAGCTTTACAACCATTAAATACGTTGGACATGCCATTTGTTTTGTATATAGAATTTATACTCTGCAACAGTTATAACGGTCTAATTTGTTATAACTGAATTTTTCCATCACTGGTCCTTATTGGGTGGATCTGCCTATTCATAGCTCATAAATATAATAGGTGAATGTCATTACTACAGATGTTTGCTCTAGTGGTATTTAGCTGAGACTTTTCATCAGTTTAGCTTTGCGTGTCTTCTTCAGTGCTATGCGGGGCTACAAAATCATTGTTTCAGTGGACATCACTCACTGTAGAATTGCTTTGGTTACTTTTTTTCTGGTAAATTTTCATGTGAGATCATTTTACAAATTAGGGAGACCAGCTGTTACCAGCTCTAACAGTGCTGGGATCAAGAGGCAATGTATACTACACACTTCAGACACCCAGGGCTCAACAATCATTCACCTGTTGTAGTCAACTTTCCTTTAATTTACATGACAAAACTCAGCTGCATATATTAAGCCCTTACGCTATAAACCGCAATAAACAGCAAAGTTCAGAAATCCAAGGCAGAAGTGAAAATTCCATTCTTGGTATCCAATGTTTATTAGCTGCCTCATTGTAGTTTGGCCTTTTCCCATACAAAGACTGTCCCATTAAGTACAGTGCATTGCAGATATATATCTAAATAATTCCAGCTATTATGTGTTTGTAGGTTTGGGTAGCCTAACTTGGAAAGCTGCCTACAAATCCCCCCTCCTATTATTTCCTTACTCAAACCCCAAAAGGCTTTCAGCCAAATCATTAAATTCAACAGAGGTGGTCAAGCTAGCACAGCTTTTCATAGAGGCCGTGAAAAGAAAGGCGTCCTTGAAGTTTAGAAGATGCCCAAGGAAAACTCCTTCAATGACATCAAAAGAACCAGTTTCCATAGCTGTCGGAGCACGAGAGCAGTGTAAGAGCACAAAAGGGGATTGGAGCACCACGACTGGCCCACTGCTCTATCACCACACAATTGGGTCACTGCAATGGGGAATTAATTATCATTGGAGAGCGGGCAGTCCATTCAGCACTAGCTGAGTTTTATTAAACGCCAATATAAATAACAAAACAACTCTTGTGGCTGTACTATTCCTACACGCCAAAGGAAGGATTATGCTGAGGATTAACATCTTAAAGTCTATGAGACTTTCTGACTCAGGACTCCGAGCTGGTAATCGTATTTGTCTGCTGTATCAGCGATTAGTGCTCTCATTCTCGCACTTTTGCTTGGATGGCCAGCGTCCCTTTTTGCAGGCAAGGAGCTGTAATACAATAGGCTGTTCTTTTCTATGCATCTTTATAATATGAGGGTGGAAAGAAAAAATAAAGCACAATCTGAGTGCCCTGCTTAATCTCAACAACTGCATGTCTAGGCTTCTATCCGATTGTTCTGGTAGAAGAAGACGGTATGTGGGAGGCACTACGACATGCTTGTTATACAACCACAGAGGTCTGGCACGTGATTTCCTACACTATTAAAGCCAGGTTATGAGCAAAAGCTTTTTTAATTAGTATGTAAAGGAAATATTTAGTTTTATACACGGTCCATTTTTAACATTTTCTTTTCAGGTATTTGGTAGTGGAAAATCGGGTTATCTTTTTTGAATTTGCAAAAATGTTGGACTCACTCGCCTTATTAGTAGATATTGTCTACAACACTTTAGTCTAGTCAGTGCTACGCAAAGTATTGATACCTAGGGATAACCATAGATATCAGAAATAAACTCCTCAGCTAGCATATTAAAGAAAAACGGATTATAAATGTTGGGTTTTTGAGTATACATTAATAATGCTGCATACAAATGCATATCTTAAAAGAAGGATTTAAATGCATTTGCACCTTGCAATTTGTGATATTAAAGTGCAGCACCATTTATAAATTAATCACTACTATGGCAAACAAAATGAATAAAGTGATGTGGCAAAGGCGGCTTTGTAATTTTTGAGCATTTTTTCCCAAGGCATTTGATACCGTTCCTCACAATAGGTTAGTCTTCAAACTAAAAGAAATTGGTCTAGATGAATATTCTTGGGTAGAACATTGGTTTAAGGAAATTGATAAAAAAGAATGGAGCATTTTAGTTACGACGAAAGGTTAGAAAATTAAAATCCTTAAGTTTTTAAAAACGGCGCCTCAGAGGGGATATGATAACATTATACAAATATATCCAGGGCCAGTACAAGCCATTATCTGGAAATCTATACATAAACAGGGCTATACATAGGACACAAGGTCACACATTTAGGCTGGAAGAAAGGAGATTTCATCTAAGGCAAAGAAAAGGTTTTTTAACAGTAAGAGCAATAAGGCTATGGAATTCTCTGCCTGAAGAGGTGGTTTTATCAGAGTCTATACAGATGTTTAAACTGCAATTGGATAAATACTTGCAAAAACATTACATAGAGAGATATAATTTCTAATTATTGGGGTAATAGCTGCTTGATCCAAGGAGACATCTGACTGCTATTTTGGGGTCAAGAAGGTTTTTTTTTCTAGTTTGTTGCAAAATTGGAAGCGCTTCATACTAGGTTTTTTGCCTTCTTTTGGATAACAGCAAAAACATATGTGAGGAAGGCTGAACTTGATGGATTTATATAAAACACAATTTTAGAAAGGAAAAGCTGATAAAAATGCTCAAATCACCAAGTGTGAGTCACTCCAAATCACACAAAGAACCATACAATACAATAATAATATAGTGAGAGCAAACTCTATACACCAGATAAAATGGATATAAAAATAGGCAATATTACCATATGGCTGCAATGTCCTAAAAATAGAAAATAAGGAACATAGTATAGCCTGTATAAAATATACAAAAAATAATAAAATGTAAAATTGTCCACTCACGTGGTACTGAGCCGTTCAGTGGCTCAGACTATAGGCGCCTTGTAAAAATATGGAGACCACAATGCTGGAAAGGCAAATCTCTGTAGGAATTCCCTTTTGTGACTAAATGGAAAGTCGAGTCAGGAAATACAGGAACAAATTTTATTCGCCAACAATCGCATATAAAATGGAATCTCTCAAATTATTGCACTAACGCGTTTCAACCTAAACGGTCTTTATCAAAGTGCTAACAGTGTTAAACAAATTAAACATTTAAATATAATTACAAAAAGGCGCGCTGTGATTTCTTCCGGTTCACTTCCGGATTTCGGCTATCCGACCTCCAACTTCCGGTCACGTTGTATTGCGTCTCTTCAAACACTTCCGGGTCAGCGGACAGTGTTTCTCTTGCGTTCCAGTACGTCTTCAATCTCAGTCGTAATTTCCGGCTTCCGGTCATGTGACCTATCACGGGATACTTTCGGGCAAAAATCATGACTCCCTTGCATTTTAATAAAGTTCCGGTCTCAAATAAAATCGAAATTTACTTCAAATGTCTTTAATTAATATGTCCATACATAAATCCATCGAGCATATTTTTTAAAATAAGAATAAATAAATCAACAAATATAAAAATGATCACTCTATCAATTATACACTATAAAAAAAGATAAAAAAATGTCTCTAAAAAGATAAAATAGAGCTCATTAACAATACAGGGATACATATATGAGGAGAGAAAAAGGGGGAGAGAAGATAATAATGGATTAAGATACATAATATAATTATAATACATCTAAAAAATATATATATTATAAAAAGGGAGTAATTTCAAAATCCACATTCAAGCCATCAGGAGTCAGGATATTGAGGTTAAACATCCACCTCATTTCTGCTTTGCTTAAAATATTCTCTTTACAACCCCCTCTCCAATGGACTTTAATTTTTTCTATACCTATAAATTGAAGTCCCTCTGGGTTACCATTATGGTGGTCTAAAAAGTGCTTCGAAACGCTGTGATTAATAAATTTTTTCTTTATATTATTAATATGTTCTCCTATTCTGACTTTCAGTTTTCTTATCGTTTTACCCACATAATGATAACCACATGGACAAGTTAAAAGGTATATAACATTGGTTGTATTGCACGTGATTAATGAATGTATTTTATATTCATCTACTGGATTATTATTCGAAGAAAAGGTCTTAATATTCCTCCTTGTAATCTTATTTAATCTGCATCCAGTACAGTCTCCACAATAATAAAAACCTATTTGTCCACCTAAAAAATTATTTATATCCTTCTTCACTTTTTTCTCCAAAAAACTTTTAGTTAAAATTTGTCTAAAATTTCGTGCTCCTCTAAAAATAAATTGGGGTCTATCTCCTAAATAAGGTAAAAGTTCTCTATCCTCCTTTAATACATGCCAGTTCTTTTTAAAAACATTGCATAAAGATCTATTATTAGTACAAAAATTGAGGATCAAAGGAATCTGTTCCTCCTTCTTTCTTTCTTTATCTTTATATTCCAGAAGTAAATCCCTATCTCTTTCTCCTATTTCGTCTCTAATATTTTTAATTAAAGTTAGATCATACCCTTTATCTACAAATTGCTGTGATAAGTTACATGATTGGTCTTGATAATCTTTAAAATCCGTGCAATTCCTCCTTAATCGGAGGAACTGGCCTTTTGGTACATTGCTAAGCCACGGTTTAAAGTGACAACTTTGTAAGTCTATAAAACTATTTACATCTACTTTCTTAAAATGGGTTTTACTTTTTATTTGGTCTGATTCTATAAAAATATCTAGGTCTAAAAAGGTGATATTTTGATTGCTTATACTGGAGGTGAGTTTAATATTCCAATCATTGGAATTTAGGAACTCTAAAAACTTAACCAAAGAATCTCTATCTCCTCTCCATATAATAAAAATATCGTCTATGTACCGCTTATAAAGGACCAAGTTCGCCCCTAAATCTACACTGGGGAGAACAAATGTTTCTTCCCAGTGAGACATAAATAGATTAGCATAACTAGGGGCGAACTTGGTCCCCATAGCGGTTCCTTGAATCTGTAAATAGAACTGTTCTTCATACCAAAAAAAATTATTTTTTAATATGATCTCTATACCTTTTAAGATAAAATCGACCTGCGGTTCATTAAAATCTCCCAATTTCTTCAAAAAATATCTAATGGCCTTACAACCCCTCTCATGAGCTATATTTGTGTATAAACTACTCACGTCACAGGTTGCCATAATGTATCCTTTTTCCCATTTTGAACTTGATGGATGCAAGTCTCTTTTCAGCTATGTAACATGCACACACATTTATACAGACATACTCACACTTATACAGTTACACATACATATTATTTATACAGTGCCAACAAATTTAAAGTGTTGTATATATATATATATATATATATATATATATATACACACATACATCCTCTACAATAACACATCTATATATATATATCTATATATCTATATATATATATATATAAATAAAACAAGAGGGGGTTGGCTGCACTCACCTTAACATGCATAAATGGGGGTGCTGCTGGGGGCCAAATAATACAATACACAAGATCCAGCGCACTCACCTATCCACTAAACAGCAACTTCAATGTTGAAAGATTTTATTTGTTTTTTAAAAACACCTAATCTAGGCAAAAATAATGGGGGTTTAGTTACATTATATGATCATACATTGCATAAGCCTGCCACAACGTCAATGTACCCCATCTTTGGCAGGTCCTACACTAACAGCCTAACAGTGGCGGCTCTAGACTTTATGAGGCCTTAGACGAAACTCAAACAAGAGGCCCCCCCACTAATACTCATAGTAAAAAACATATAGGGGTTGTATCGTGTGTATAATGAGCTGTTGTTATATTGAATGACAGGCTTGCGGTGCTGGATACAGAGAGCTAGTCTCTGTATTCAGTGTTGGGGTGAGTGTGGCACAGTTGAAGGAGAAAGTGTGACAGGGCGAGGGGAGGTGAGAGTGACAGGATGAGGGAGGGTTATGTGACAGGGTGAGTGTGGCATGGCTTGGCAGGATGAGTGACAGGATAGAAGTTAATGTGATAGGGTGAAGGGGGATGAGTTTGACAGGATTGGGGTTATGTGTTACACGGCTGGAGGAGGAAGTGTGACAAGGCGAGGGAAAGTGAGTCGGACAGGATTATGTGACAGGGTGAGTGTGGCATGGTTGGGCACAAGTGAAAGGGTTGGGGGTGAGTGTGACAGTATGAGAGAAAATGAGTGTGATAGGGTGAGTGTGGAAGAGCGAGGGCTGGTAATTGTGGTATGGATGGAGGGGGTGAGAGCGACAAGATTAGGAGAGGTTAATGTGAGCGAGGCTGGGTGAAGAAGGCATGACAGCATGTGGGGGGTGACCAGGGCCGTCTTTAACGCGGGGCAAACGGGGCAGCTGCCCCGGGCCCAGTTGCTCCTGGGGGCCCAGAGCAGCTGCTCTGTGGG